ATGGGAGTGGGCCAGTAAGCACTGTTCCTTCATGGCCTCTTGTTCAGTTTTTGATTCCAGTTTCAGCCTTGAATTCCTGCCCTGAATTCCCTCAGTGGTAGATTGTGAGTTGTAAGCTGGGGCCGGGGGACTTTCCTCCCTGAGTTGGTTTTGGTCAGAAACCTAACTAGGACAGCTGTCCACTCTGATACTTGTGCAACCACTGTAGCGTTCCTTCTCACCAGTGTTTGCTGTTCTGTCTTCTGTCCCTTTGAGCTTTCCTCAAATATCATTATATTAGCTTTGTTTCTTACAGCTAATACATTGTTAGGTCACATTTTCTAATCCGTTCTATTAGTCTTTGCCTTTGAGTAGGTATGTTTACACCCTTTTTAAAGATTTATTTTCTTGATTTATGTGTGTGTATATGTGTGTGTGTACACATGTGTGACAGTGCTCGTGGAGGCTAGAAGATGGCATCAGAGCCCCTGGAGCCAGAGTAACAGATGGCATCACTGAACATGGCTGCCGGAGCTGAAAGAACAAGTGCTCACACTAACTGAGCATTCTCTCCAGCCCCCACATCCTTTCTTTGTAATATAATGAAGTGTTGGGGTTTAAATCTGCTGGGGTCTTTTCCCATCTACTTTCTGTAATTTACACTTGCTTTTGTTTTCCCATCTTCCTACGGGAAGACACATTCCTATGAATGTGTTTGATGACCTCACTTCATTTTATCTTTATCTTATTGTTTATCTGTATATGCTCTTTAGGGGCTGCTTTAGACCTCACTATTGCTCAGGAGTATGGAAGGTTCAGCTCTACTCTGTATCCCAACTTTAAGATGTATAAATAAATAGGAAGGCCCTGACTCACCACTAGACTCCTTCAGTATCAACCCAGTGGGATGGGAAAGACAACTTTCTTACAATAGGGGAATTTAGAATTTAAGGCTCCCAAGGTGTTCCCTGTTGGTGCTGCAGAAATGGTGAGGGGCAAACCCATCTCCCATCTCCCTCCTTGATAGTCTCTGAAAACACCCTTGGGATAGGAGGAGAAGAATCGAAGGCATCCTTATAGCCCACCTAGGTTAGAGTCTAGGCCTTTGGTGATAGGGGTGGTGTCATAGTAATGGTTTCTATTGCTATGAAGAGAAACTATGACCATGTCAACTCTTATAAAAAAAAAAAAGGCATTTAATTGGGGCTGGCTTACAGGTTCAGAGGTTTAGTCCATTACTGTCATGGTGTCATGCAGACAGACATGGTGCTAAAGAAGGACCTGATAGTTCTACATCTTAATCCATAGGGAGCATAAGGAGAGTCACAGTAGGCCTAGCTTGAGCATATAAGATCTCGAAGCTGGTCTCCACAGTGACACGCTTCCTCCAACAAGTGGAGTGCCACTCCCGATAAGCCAAGCATTAAATATGACTCCATGGTGCCATTCCTATTCAAACCGCCACAGATGGGGACAACATTTTTCTGTAGTATTTAGCTTGGATGAAATAGTGATTGTATAAAACTTTTCATTCCTTCTAGGCTTAGCCTCTAGGAACTAGGGGCTAGTTGTACTGATCAAGTGCACACAACCCCAGAGCCTAATTTCAAAGTTTAAGACCCAATTTCTAGATGTTGCACTACTACATCCTTTTGTCTCGGGTTTGGTTTGGTTTGGTTTGGTTTGGGTTGGTTTGGTTTGGTTTGGTTTGGTTTCAGTGCTTTTTGGAAATAAGGTCTCTCTATGTAGTTCTAGCTATCTTGAGTTCTCTATGTAGTGTAGACCAGGCCGGCCTTGAACTCATAAATATCCTTCCCCCACCATCTAAATGCTGTGATTAAATGTATGCACACCACACCCCTGGTTGGACCATTTCTTAATCAAACCATAGGGGGCATTTCAGACCCAAACTGTAACATTCCCTACTGTTAGGTGATCTCTAGTGTTTCAGATTATAAACAAGACTGGTATCTGAATGCTCAAATCAGTCTCCAATTTAAGTAAGTTTTGTTAACATCACCTTCTAGAGAAAGGATGGAGAGATTAAGCCTCTAAATCTCTCGGTAGAGTGTGGGAGGGGCACACTTTAACTGTTGAACTTTGTATCTCCTTTCAGAACCATCAGGTGGTGAGGAAGGAGGAGACACAGAGCTGATGCAGCAGGACACAGCTTCAGTTCCTGAACCACCAAAGGAAACCAAACAGACCAAACAGGTAATAGTTACTGTGAGCATCACAGCTATTGGCCAGGAAGTCAGTCTGTAACCACACTGTATAGTCCCGTGGGCATCACAGCTATTGGCTTGGAAGTCGGTCTGTAACCACGCTGTATAGTCTGTGAGCATCACAGCTACTGACTCGGGAAGTCGGTCTATAGCCACACTACAGCATTTCTTGACTCTGGCATCAGCTGTTGTGAGATTAGGGGAAGCTTTTGCTTTCTTTGCCCATCAAAAGGCCTTGTTCTCCTAACTGTAAACTACGAGGCATGGTTTCCCAGATTTTTTTTTTTATTATTCTTTTTGGTTTTTCGAGACAGGGTTTCTCTGTGGCTTTTGAGCCTGTCCTGGAACTAACTCTGTAGATCAGGCTGGTCTCGAACTCACAGAGATCCGCCTGCCTCTGCCTCCCGAGTGCTGGGATTAAAGGTGTGCGCCACCATTGCCCTGCAGTTTCCCAGATTTTTGTTTTTATATATTGTACTAGAAAAATGTATTGCATGGTCTGGAGAGATGCGTCTGTGGAATCGGCACTCCTGTCGCTGTCACTTCTCCGTGGGTGCCCATACATAACATTATATTGGGTGAGATCTTTGATGTGGCTTCAACTGTTGCTCACTTATATGGAAGTGCTTGTAAAAGGCCTGTGACGGTATCCATACAAGAGGCTATTTGAATCCTTCGCAGACGATGGGTATAGGTCATGTATAATCAATGCACCAGTCTTTTATGGGGAAGTTGACTTGTGTGTGGGTCCTATCATGGCCCTCCATCCACAAGGCCACAGTCAAGAATAGGCCTCACAAGACAGTACACAGGGTGTCATGCCAGAGGCTTTAGCTATTTTCCATCTGTGGTGATTTGAATAAGCTCATTTATTTGAAGAGAGAGCAAGAAAGCCAGCATGGGCCAAGAGACCAAGAGACCAGTGTAGCCAAGATAGCTGGGTTGTATAGATAAACAAACAGATAGACAGACAGACAGACAGACAGACAGAAAGATAGATAGAGATAAATAGATGGATATAGATATATAGGGATCAGGCTGGGGAAAGGGAAGTGAAGCCCAGCCCCTGGAAAGGAGAGGTTTAGGGGAGGGAGCGGAGTGAGGAATGCTGGGAGGAGCCCCAGGCTGCACTTTTCCCTTTGCCTTCTTTCTCCATCCCTACCATTAAAATCCCCATACTTTAGGAGTAGTCATGTCCTCCTCTTTTCATTTCATTTTTTCATTCGCTGACCCCGTGGCTGTCTTCCTGCCTCAGCCTCCTGAGTGTTGAGATTATAGGCCTGGGTCCACTGTGCGCTTTAGGGGCTCTGCTAATTACATCCAGGCATTGGCCTTGGAAGGGAGAGCTCAATGCTTCCTTGTTCTGTAATTAGATGCTCATGGCCATCTGGCATCTCCTGTGACATATTAGCGGCCTTGGCCCAGTTTCTTATTGGCATGTACCAATATAAAATGGACATGAATCTAAATCCACAAGACAGCTTAACTTTCTAAGTAAGAAAGACAATATCTTTATTTTCTTAAACTGCAGGGCAATTGGTCTTCACAGGCTTTTTGTTGAAACTGTAAAGAAGCTAAGGATGAAAGATTCCCATGTTATTTTAATCTACCCTACTGCCTGAAACAATGTCTAAACAGTGCTGGTGCTGGCCCAGTATCTTAAAGAACTTACCCTCTTTGATTGAGGCCATAGGCATTTTTAATCTGCAGGTTTTGTTGTTGTTGAGACAGTTGTTTGAGTCACTATGTAACTCTGGCTGTCCTGAAACTCACTATATAGACCAGGCTGGTCTCAAACTCACAGAGATCCACCTGCCTCTGCTTCTCCTTCTGGGATTAAAGGAGTACACCACCACGCCTGGCTTTAATCTGCTCACTTTTCATCTACGATCGTTTTGAACAGTGTCACAGAGAAAAGGCGGCAGCCGATGACTGACTGGTTAAACAGACATCCTCTACTTGGACTCAGCACAGGAAACATTTTATTTAGTAGCTTATGATTAATATCTGTGGAACCTGCACATTTCATTTTATAAATCAAGGTTTCAGTCCAAATTTCCTACTTTACTACCTTAAAGAACGAAACTCAGCTAAAAAACAGTATGAAACTATATGGGGTCCTTGGGGTTCAAGGCCATTGGCAAATCAATCGCTCTTAGTGCTACAGTGTGGAGCCTGTTTTCAGTCCGTTAAAAGAACATTTATTCTGTGGTCATTTCTAAATGACTACATGGGTCCAGCTGGTTGGCACAGCTGGTTTGTAAAAACGTAAGTAAATATATCCTACCTTGGATTTTCTCTGCTTTTCGAAAAGGGGGAAGGAGTGGGTGCTATAAAGAACGGCACTTGGAAGTGCAGCCTTCTGCACAGGCAACTCCTGGAAAACTTGGGTTGCTCTGGTCATTGGCCGCCTTGCCACATCCTCATTCTAAGCACGTCTATTTCTGCCAGCGTCTTACAAACCAGCCCCTGGCTTCCATCTCTAATAATCTGCACACATCAAGCACATGTATACACTCACTCACTCACACATTTTGATCGCTGTTCAAAGATTTTTCCAGTCTTACGTCATCTGTGCTTTCTCAAATTCTGTCAGTTCAGCTCTGCATCACAGCTCCAGTGGGTCTTCCAGCATCGCTATGGAATGTGACCAAGGTACTCAGAGGAGTTTGTGCACAACGGAAAAAGCTTCGGGACTCATAGCAGTCAGTGACACTTCATCCTGCAAAGATGAAAGTTTTCTCATTTATATTTTATTACAGCCTACAGAATGTTTCTTGAGGAAACCACAGGAAACAAAAGAAGAAGCCCGGAAGACCAAGAAGTGGAAAAAGGTACCAGCAACAGTTTGTCACAGTGGTCTGGACACATGTGACTTTCATGACATTTTTTTAAAGATTTTTTTAAAATATTTATTTATTTATTTTAAATATTTATTTATTCGTTATGTATACAATATTCTGTCTGAGTGTATGTCTGCAGGCCAGAAGAGGGCACCAGACCTCATTACAGATGATTGTGAGCCACCATGTGGTTGCCGGGAATTGAACTCATGACCTTTGGAAGAGCAGGCAATGCTCTTAACCACTGAGCCGTCTCTCCAGCCCTCATGACATTTTTATATATCATACTTATGTGAAGTTATTTTGGCCCCCAACTAAGAGATCCAGAAATTGTAAGAGTCAGTGAGATCTGTTAACTTTCTTATGGTCTTCAGGAAGAAATTTTCTTTGGGGAACTAAAATTAAACTTTTCTAACTCCCATTTCACTCCTGTGAGAGACCAACGGCTTTCTGCCTGCTGGGTTTTCACTGTGGCATTATACACAGGTTCTAATCTAGAAGGACCCAGAGCTTCTCCTATCCCCGCTGACCCACATTTATCCAAGAAAACCCATTCCCCTTTTCCTATTCACTCCAGCTTCAAGCCTTTACACTAAAGTAAAAACAAAATGAAAACGGGTAGAGGAAGGCACTGCCAGGTATTTCTAACTCTAATTGAGCCACAATTGAAGGCAGCTGCTCCCCCTCCTCTTAAATACTGTGTCTCTGTGCAGAGAAGGGCCGTTGCTCCCATGCAGACATTTTACAGAGCAGCCCTAGCGTGAGAGCATCTCCCACACTGAGAGCAGCTGGGCAGTTCTCCACAGCCAGTCAGAGTCTGCTGCTGAAGTCAGCGGAGGGGAGAAAAGAGGGTCCAACCCCGTCCGCTGTTTAACAGCAAGCATTCAGAAAGAAGTATGCAGACCTGTGTTTTCTTTCCTCGCAAATGCCCAAATAGAAAGGCAGAACATGACAAATTGGCTGAGGTCTGGCACGCCCTTAAAGAAATGCCTTAAGTGCACTTTGATAATTGAGTCACACAGCCTTGAGGAGTGGAGTGTTGGGTTCCAGAGTTCAAGGTCAGAACTCTTGCTAGTTTAGCTTGGCAGAGGTCATGCCCAGGGTGACAACATTAGGTTGATACCTTCGATGGGACCTTGAGTAGTTCTGACACTGGGAGTGGGGGAGTCTGGGTCTTTGGAGAAGCATTACAAAGAAATAAGGGAAGTTCATGACAAAATTAGACAATTGCGCTTCCATATATTACAGCATTTAATAAAAGGAGTATAAATATGTCTGTTGTGTAAACAAACATTTTACAAAAGAGTCCACATCAAAAGAGAGAAAGTATCTTCTGTGCCATCCGTTCTATTGTGTTTCATGGGGCCTCGGGGTTGCCTCCTAAATCAGGACAATCAGTAGCATCAAGTCCTTTCAGTGAGCACATGTGCTCAGCTTCGTCTGTAGAAATCCATCCAGGCTCATCACCTAAAAGCCAGATTGTACAAGAAGTGCTCAGAATTCTGCTCTTTCAGGAGTACAGGGTATTTAGGAGTAAAAGAGAAGTTTGCATAGCAAGAAGACTTCTAGACTTTAACAGAAAAATACCCTACTGCTGAGCTGAATGCAAAGTTTTCACTTCCAAAAGCTACAGACCAGACATTACAAGGAGGTCTTTCAATCCTTTCTTCGTGTTTCAAACATTCACTATGTCTAAGAAGTATGCAGTAAGGTTTCCCACTCAGCTACCACCAAAAGATAGGTGCCAGAGACACGAACCTACGCCACATGCCATTCTAAAATCTAATGCTCTGGTTTTTTTTTTTTTTCTTCTCTTTTTTTAGAGGAAAATTTCTGATATTCTGGCAAAATCAGAGCCCAAACCAGGGACTCCTAGGGACCTTCAGAAGCTTATCAAGGACCATTACAGCGGCAGTCGTTCCGTAGTTGAACTAGAAGAGCTCAGCCTACCAGGTGTGGCCCCGTGTCAGTTGTCCTAAGGATGGGGAACAGACAGAGTCATTTCTTCTTTACTGTTTTATAGGAATCTCCACTGGTGGGAATTTATACATTTTCCTTGCTCTTAAACCTCTCCCCTCCATGTAATACTTTTTAACTGTTATTTATTTGGGATTCTTAAAAAAAATGGTTTTTCCTGAATTGAATACTAAGGTTTGTGAATGTACTTTATCTTTTACTGGAAAGATTAATTGTTCAGTATACAATTTTAGCAGACTCTTCAAGGAATAAATGTCTCTAATGAAGATAGATATTAAACTCACGTAAGAACACTTCAGACATTTAAAAGTCTTGGTGTGAAACTTTGTTGACCTTTCTTTATAAATAAGAACAAGCCTTAGGAAGCTTGTTAAGCTGGGCTCTGAATCCCAGAACTCAGGAACCTGAAGCAGATGGATCACAGCAAGTCTGAGTCCAGCTTGAGCTATAGAATAAACACCCTATCTCCAAAAAATTAACAAGATTTTGTAATAAGTATTTTAGTTGTATTTTTGTGGCGGTCATGATTTCAGTTTTGGAGTAGGATTCCGGTTGTACCCAAGACTCTTTCAAGCCAACTCACCAAACCTGGTAATAGAATTCTGCATTTCACAGAAGCCACTATGGTCTGAGGCCCCATGCCTTATTTAAAATTTCAAAGATATGCAAAACTACAGTCCCTGCTCTGAGCTTTTAGATTGTGGTGCATCTGTAAGACTCCAGGGCAAGGCTAGGAGAAACCAGATGTTATCCTGAAAGCAAACCATAAGGCGCTTTGGCACCACTGCCCCAGATAAGCTATTTCTAGGCTACTGAAAACAACTCCTGCTACTTGGGGAAGAAGTCAACAGTAGCTGACTTTCCCTTACAGCTCTATGCGTGCTAGAAGCTTGAGAAGCTGAGGAACAGCCTGTTCCCTGCATAGTTATCATTCTTCTGCACTATTTTTTTAAATGCTCCTTGGGATTAGCAGCAAGAGTGCCCCTGTGTGTTCTTTTCCAAGACAATTGCCCTTGAGGGAACTGGAGGCTTGCACTTGGATGCAAACAGTGTCTGGAATCTTGCTCAAGTGTGAGACTGTGTCCTGACTGCTCAGGTGTGAGACTGTGTCCTGACTGCTCAGGTGTGAGACTGTGTCCTGACTGCTCCTGCTGGCACAAATCCGCACTCAAGCTGAGGCTGGTGTCTAGTTTTTAGTGTGACTCAGTTTCTTCGTCTAGTTTTCCTTAGCATGTAACTTGTGCCCTGAAGGATTTGTGAAGAACATCCTGATAGTCTGTGACCTCAGAGAATATCATAAACCTTGATTCTCTGCAGAATTGTTGAGAGCTAATGTTTATAAGGAACTCTTGGGATTCATCCAAGTTACATAATAAGTTTGTGTTATATTATTGTTTTTATTAAAGCCCCATAACATAACTGTGTAAGATCATAGACTTATGGATTTTTTTTTTCTTTAGGAGGGAGAAAGTATGTTGGAAACCACCAGAAAGAGCAGGCTTTAGTACCAGCTAATAGATGACCATTTTAAGACATAGTCAGTTAAGGCATCATTAGAAGCTTTCCTAGAAAAGACCCTGGTCACCACAGTGACCAAGAACAGCCTCCAGGGGTAGTAACTGTGCTACCTGGAGAAATAAAAGATGCCATTTGTTATTAGGAACAGGTTAAAGAAGGAATGTAAATAATAGAGTATTGTTTCTAATCAGTTAGTCAAGTGTCTGACTGGGTTTTAACCTGAGGTCGTTTGTGTCTGAAGGGCAGGAACATGTCCTCTTAATTACCACTAATTGTGCTGTACACAGCTAACATCTTACACGTGGGAACTTAATTAGGGATTTCCAGACCAAAGAACACTGGGAGCTAATTAGCCTCTGCTGTCTCTTGAGAGCTGATTTGGTTTAGATCAGTGACCCTAAGTGCCTTTAGTCTAGCTGCAACCAACTCACCGAAACACAAGTCACCCTCAGGGACTTAGCCAAGTAGAGGCCATTCTGTTGTCACTGTTCACCTCATCTGTAAAGACCATCAGAGACTCCCTGCCTCTACTGAGGCAACAACTTAGAAAGTGTTATGTATTATATGTATTATTAAATTAAATCAAACTTAATTCAGTAATAGTTCACCCCCTAACACCCTTATGTTTACACAGAAACTTTTCCTATCGAAGGAATTGAGTTGATAACCGTAATGTTACATAAGCTGTGACTGTCACTATCAACAGTGGTCCTTTTATTCTGATGTGTCATGTTGTATTTTACAGGTAGGCTGAATTGTTGCACTTTGATGCATTATTCCCATTCTTTCCAAATCTATGCTTTATTTCCTTTCCTCATAAATATTTACTCTAGACAGTTGCTACATCTTTTTATGCATGCACTTTATATTGCCATTTGGGTATATATCTTTATTTTTATCTAAATTACATTTGCAGAGCCTCTCATTCTGTTTCTTCGCATCACACTGTTCTCAGATATGCCAGATGTGGCTCTGTGTACATCTAAGTCACTTCTCTGAGCTGCTCCATAGTGTTCCAGCCCTTTCATCTGTCACAAAGCACTCGCCCCTTTTCCCAGATGTGGACACCTGTAGGGCTTCCCACATCTCAAGGTCATAAATTTTGCCAAAATTAGTCTTTTTGTGTATCCCTTTATAATGCACAAAAATTACCTTTATTTACCCAGAAAATAAATCAGAGAAGCACAGAGTATATTATCTTACTATTACTACTTTCCAAACAAGTTTATCCATTGGCCATTCTACCTTCATTTGGTAAACGTTACACCAGCCCACATTCTCCATAGCTTTTTCTATCGTGCGTCTTCTCATCTTTGCTCCCTCACTGCTACGTCAGTAACTAACGGATTCGAGGTTTCTCACAAATTTCCCAGCCACTTCACCTTGCCTTTGCCTCATTCATAGATTGCAAGTGCAAAAATGCTTCCCTGTCTGTAAACAATGTGCAGAGCTGGGTTTTGATCCTGCTGCACGTATTGGCATTGTGGGAGCCTAGGCAGTTTGGATGCTCACCTTCCTAGACCTGGATAGAGGGGGGAGGACTTTGGACTTCCCACAGGGCAGGGAACCCTGACTGCTGATGCAAAGAGGGCTGATGAGGGAGGGGGACTTGATTGGGGGGGGAGGAAATGGGAGGCGGTGGCGGGGAGGAGGCAGAAATCTTTAATAAATAAATTAATTAATAAAAAAAAACAATGTGCAGAGCTTTTACTTCACTACTCCAGAACATTAAAAGTTCCTACCCCAGGGACCAGCCCAGGTTATCCATACAGAGTGGTCATCTCCGTAAATACGCAAACAACAAAAATATCCTCAACAGGTTACACTTATATATGTGTGTTTAGCACTAAAAATAGGAAAAGATGGTATCAATTTAAGAGTGGAGAGCATGGAAGGGCCTGGAGGGAGGAAACATGAGGAAGCTGGGGGGAGAAGGGAGTGGGAGAGGGACAAGGGCTATAAATACATTGTAAGTAAAAATGTAAAACTAGAAATAAAATATTTAAATTAAAAAAATAAAGTCTATTATTGCTACTGCTGTTATTTTAAATAACACTAAATAATGAGCCTCCAAGTCACTTACGTTTTATAACTCATTCAAGAATTCATCATTCATATTAATCTGTTTTGATTGTGTGCTTGCAAAGTTCTCAGCAGAGCATATTTCTTGTATTTCTAGACTCCTGTTTCCTTAAGGCCAATGATTTGACTCACAGTCTCTCTTCATATCTAAAAGAAAGTAAGTAAAGTCCGATGCTTTAAAAATTATTTACCAGGTCATTATTCCACACACACACACAAAAAAAAAACAGGTTTGAAGTCGGGTGCATAATCCCAGCATGCTCAGGAGACTAAAGCAGGAAGAGCAACACTTATTCAGTGCTAGCCTGGAAAGGAAACTCAAAACCCAAAATAAATAAGTAAGGTTAGTCTCTCTAAATTATTTTATTTAATGTGATATATATATTTCACCATATTTAAAATTAAAACTTTCTAGCTGAAGTGGAGAGGCATTTATGGTTCCATCTGTTTTTCTCAGTCATATTATATGGGCTCAGTAATAAACTCATTATTCCCCTGCCTCAGCTTCTCACATGCTGAGATTGTAGGCTACACTGTGGCTCGTTAATTGATGTGATGTTTTAATGTCTAAACGTATTTCCATTTTGCTCTGGCTTTGGGAGTTTGGGTGCAGGTCCCATTTGGGTTTATAATGTATTAGATGTTAGTCTAGGGCTCCTGAAAGTGATGTCCTAGTCCAGAGCCTCCAGTCTTCTTGAACTTGACCTTCTTACCTGAAAGATCAAGAAACTGAGCCATGTGATTTTTAATAGCTGGGAGAACATCTATTTACCTGTTCAGAATTCAGACCTCGTTATTACAGCCAATCTGATTTGATATTTTAGTTTGTGTTTTGTATAACCAGAAAAAAAAACTAGATTATTCATAACAAAATATTATTTACTTGTTTCCAGCAATAATGTGACTTACATAGAGCAATTTGACATTCTTCTTTCAGCCTTTTAGTGGTACAATGATACCAAATTTGTGCTTATTAAACATTTCTCAGAATATAACTTTACAAATATAAATCTGGATTATAGTAGGAATAATATCCTGGCATAAAAACTTTAAAATATTGAAATTCTAAGCCTATTTAATAAGCATAATAATAAATAATGAGTTTGAAGTATTATTTATTGTCAGTTCATTCTAGGTTATGCTGGATGTCTCTTTAAACTTTCACTTGGGCTCGGTGTGGTGAACCAAGTCTCTAGCCCCAGGCAGGTGGATGTCTATGAGTTCCAGACCAGCTAGTGTTATGCAGTGAGATCCTGTCTTTAAACAAACAAAAGGCCAAGCTAAACTAAAATCTAACAAGACTGAATCAGAGTGACCCTATTGGTCAACAGTGTCTTCAGACTCTAAACATAAAGTTTAATCTGCTGTCTGAAATAGCAGAAAATGTAATAACAGTCAATGCTTGTTTTATTTTCTTAAGCACTTAGAAATAAATAATTGGAGAATGTCCAGTGTTAGCAGCACTGTTTTGCTGTCTTTGGAATCGTTTTCATGATCTGTCTTTCAGTCTGTCCTAAGTGGGTAAAGCTTCGGAAAACGCACAACGAGAAGAAGTCAGTCCTGATGCTGATCATCTGCAGCTCTGCCGTCAGAGCCCTGGAGCTCATCAGGTCGGTGTCGGCAGCTGGGGCCCCTGGGTGTTTCCTCATAGATGCCAGCCTGTATATTCTGTGTGCCATGAGTAACACTGGGTCCCTGCCCTACGGGATGTATGCTCTGTTGGAAAAGCTGACAGTAAGCAAGTAGATGTGCGCGACAATATCCTAAAGAGTGATGCATTATAGAAGGGAAAACAAGGCAGGGAAACGAGAGGGACACGGATGACGGCATTGGAGCAGAGACTCAAAGTGAAAGAGGGAGACACATGGCTTTCTTGACCTGAGATCCGAGGTAGATCTCCCGTGAGCCCTGACATTGAGTGCCGTGAAAGGAATCGGGGCAGAGGAGTGCCCTGAGTCATTTTAAAGGCGCATTTACACCACTGTGTAGAAAAACACATTGTTCGGGGTAAGGATAAAAGCACCAAGACCACACTAGCGAAAACAGCCAGCAAATGGAAGGGGTGATCTGACTCAAACTAGAAGCAAGGAAAGGCAGAATACCAGGCAACAAACTTTCTAACCTATGTAAAGAAAACATCAGGGGATGGAAAAGTGAGCACCATACTCTTGAGAAGGGAGACTCGCTGTTGTAAATATGCCTGTTCTACTTAGGAGCAGCTACAATTTTCACTGGTTTCCAAGTAAAACTCCAAGCAAATTTTTTAACTAGTTAAACAAATTTTAAACTTTTACAAAATTATACAGCTAAAAATGGGGGGGGGGGGTTCAAGGCCACTAAGAAAAGGTCACTGTCACTTTCAGAGTGCAATACGTGTGTCATAGTCTCAGCAGTTCAGAGCCTCTGGGACTGTCACGTGCAGGACAGGCAGAAGTGGGCCAGAACTGAAAGGGAAGAAGCAGACCCAAATGCATGTGAAAATGTAGGGCCCAGAAAAGGAGACAAAGACAGCAGAGGAAGCTAGATTGTTCAACAGTTATGTCCAACAACTGAGTAGCCATCTGTAATGATTAAGTTCATGTCTCACTCCTTCTGTGAAGATAAAATTCCAAACAGACCAAAAATTTATATTATAGATAAGTTGACACTTTATTAAGAGCTTTCATAGGCATTTCCATTCGCTGCTTTTTTGCAGAATAAACAGAAAGAATCTTCCACTGGATCTGTGTAACATTCAGAGAACAAAGAACAGACAGAGTAGGGCGGCATTTACAGGGAAAAGCCCTGTCTGGGAACCAGCCTTTGACAGGAGACAAAACAAAGGAAGTCTGTGTCTTGAAACAGGAGCTTTGTCAAGTACCCTAAGGTGCAAGTGTGTGGACTCCAAGGCGATTTAACACCTGTTTTTCTAGATGAACTAATCTAATCATGGTTTTAGAGAAGTAGTTGTTAAACTCTACTGTCCCTTCAAATTCTGCTTTCTCCGCCTCTGCACACACATTACATCATGCCCCACACCCTCCAGCAAAGCAAAATGTTCCTTTCAACTACGTCTGCTCCTAACGTAATTGGTCTTCAGTACTCCTGTTTACCTGTTGTACTTGTTGGCCCTGAATTCAGAGCATTCGCACCAGCCTTTCTGAGTATTAGACAGGACTACAGAACCCAGTACAAGATGACATGCTAATGGCAAAGAAGTTGGTTTCCATGTGACCTCTCTAAAACAAGTTGTCATGTTGATTCAAGCTTTTACTGTACATAAATTCCTTTCTGAGGGACATAAAAGCACTGTGTTGTCACACTGCATTTACCAACTGACCCCAGATATATTCTGATCCATTTCAAGTTTAATGAATTACAAAGTGTGATCTGAGCAGGCTCAAGGACCAATGTTTAATGATCCTATTGTAAGGCCATCTGTCCTCTTGACAGCCATAGTCCTGTTGTTCTCCTTGTTAACCCTGCAAGGGAGAATGTCTACGTGTAATTAAGAACTCACTTGTAATAGAAATTAGATCACATGTTTCACTGTTTATCTTCCTCCTGGTCAATAATATTTCTCAAACCATAATGACATAAAGGAAGTAATACCCCATCTTAAGTATAACTCCAAATCTTAACTAAAAACTTACTTGTTCATTATACCCACTTTAACTCAAAACAGAATTTTAGGTGATATGCAGAAATACACCAAATGAGAAACAGATGGTTAAAAAGAAAACAATAAACAGCAGAAAATCAGATGAAGCCAGCTGGAACTGGTGTTCATGATCTCTTCCATAAAGCCTTGTTAAGTTATAAAGATGGACCCAACTTCTGTGGATAGGATGTGTTTGGAAATGTCAGTCACAGACACATGGCATTCTGTGAGTTCAAATAAAATAATGCGCAGATGGTGTAGCCTGGCTCTTCATAGAGCAGCTGTAGAATGTGAGGGCCTACTGTCACAATGGTCCTTCTAAAGCCTTTCCACTGAGGTACCAAGCAGGGCAGCCTTGACTCAGAACTGATCATCTCAGTTCATATAAACAGATCCAAACTGTTGAGTACCTAGAACTGAAAGGACGACCTCACCTGCTTACCAGGTGTTATAGTCACTAAATAGATCCAAATTGTTGAATACCTAAAACAATGAGTGTACCACCTCAGTGTGTACCAGATGACAGCGACTCAAGGATGAGTCTACCCAGTAGCATTTTGGCCCTAGAAAATTTAAATGAAACTGAGCAGATTGCTGCATGCGAGCAATCCCAGCATTTGAGAATGCAGCAGTAGGAGGATTGCAAATTTGAGGACAGCCCGCGTGACGAGTTCAAGGACAGTGTCAGGTATATGGCAAAACTCTATTTAGTATGAAAGGGAGGGAGGGAGGGAGGAACGGAGGGAGAGAGAGAGCTTGATTCATTGCATTGCACATATAAAAACCTAGATGCTTGACTTCTCCAAAAGTAAAGACTTAACACTGGCTTTGTAATCTCTCATCTTAGTGACTGGATAAATAACCGACCTTTTTGAGGACACGTGGTCTCTGGTTCCCCTCAGTCCTCACAGCAGCCACCTAAAGACTGGTTTCACTCACGCATGAGTCCCACTTGCTCTCATGGATCAAGATCCACAGTCCAGTGTCTCTTTTCCTTCCTGCCTTCTCCCCTCCCTTCCTTCTCTCCTTTAGGCTGGAATATTTTCATGTGTGAAATTTCACAGAGAAGTTCAGTCTACAAAATAGAAATTGGGGGCTGTTCTGACATCCTCCCTGGTGCACTCATCCTGTAGTTCTGTCTGGACACCCCAACAGACTTTCAGATGCCTGGGCTTTCCTGATCACAGCTGACATCACTGCGCTGAGATGCCCCCTTATAATCAGAATTGCAGATACATGTGTTTGAATCATCATAGAAACCAAAGTGTCTGGCCTTGTGTTTGACTCAGAAGGACACCCAGATATGTACCTGAGCAAAAGGCTTTCCCCATTTCTGGGTTTTTTCTTTTTTGAGATAGTATCTTGTTCTGTTACCTAGACTGGTCTCGAACTCACCACAGTCCTCCTACCTCAGCCTCTTGAGTGATTTCACGCACCACTGTGCCTGAAAGCCTACTCCAGTTTCACTGAAGAGATGGACTTGCCTGATGATCTTCCTGTGTGTAGATATAAACATAACTGTACACATTTAGAACAGTCTTTTGAATGATAAACTATAATTCTAAATAGTGAGTTCTTAAATGAGTAAATTGTCATAATCTATTCAGTACCTTAGTTAATTAATCTATTCCTTTTCATTAGGTCACTGACAGCATTCAAAGGAGATGCCAAAGTTATGAAATTATTTGCAAAACACATAAAGGTAAGCAGGCGCCTGTAGTTCTGCTAAGAGATGTGAGTGGTCCCTAACAGCATCGCAAGGCATCAGCATCTCCATTCAGCCTCTCTAACCTCCCTAGAAATCGCTTCCTTTTGATCTGCTCCCAATATGACAAATCTAACAACTTTCTCTGCACTCCGTGCCTCTCCATGGCCACCTTGACCCCCTGCAATCACTGCCTTGCTTCTGCTCTTGTATAGAAGCTCGGGTCTGAGTCCCAGTTCAAAAAACTGGGCATTGACCAGTTTTATAAATAAATAAATACTCTTCCTTGTCCTAGAATTTGGTTCAGGACAAGAGTGGTCCTATTTTCTTTTTTATTTTATTTTATTTACATAGAGATACAGTGCTCTAAAGTGGCCTGTGGTTACACCTTGTTAATGATTTTGCCTTCCCTTTCTTCTCTCTCGTCTTGGAAAGGTCCAGGAGCAAGTAAACTTGCTGGAGAAGCGTGTGGTACACCTGGGTGTGGGGACTCCCGGGAGAATCAAACAGCTTGTTAAACAAGGTATGAAGTGAGAATTCTGTTAATAGCTACACATTTACCTTGCCCCCATGTGAGTCTAGGTGCTTTTTTACAAAACGAGAAAGGGTCCTCTGCATAAATCACCCAGTGGGAAGTCAACTTGGCCTTTGATTTCAGAAGCCAGCTGGTTTGAACAGTGCTGTGGGTAATGACAAGGACTGTGGCCCACTGAATTCATTTGCCCCACTAAACACATTCAAATTCCAGTGGCTCTGAGCATCCGAATGGATCCACAAAGGCTCCACCCATTAGCAGTCCTGGGAATTGGTAGAGGACACTATACTGAACACTCCCTTCTCAGGAGGCTGAGGCTTGGCACTCAGACTTCCACTCTAGTTAGATGGGACAAATGTAACGTACTGAAATGGAAATACCGTTTCTATAGTTGATACAGAGGTAGATAGTCCTGAATATTCCTCCCAAGTGCTTTTCCCTCTTAGTGCTTTGCACAGTAAGTTTTCCAGGATTCCTGGTGGGTTTTAATAGTTTGCAAACTTCCCGAGCCAAAAGCCTAAACACCTTCTGGTACCCCTATTACCTGTTCTTGACTAAACCTTTAGGTTTGCGGGGTGGTGTGTTTTTATGGTGCTGGAAATTGGATCTAGCGCCATACGCATGCTAGGCAAATGCTCTACCACTGAACTGTATCACCAGCACTCTTTTTACTTTGTACTTGGAGAGGAAGTCTCACTAAGCTGCCTAGGCCGGCCTTGATCTTGGGGTCTTTGTTAACCCCCATCAGAGACCTGAGCTGGGAGGCTGGTTCAGATTTATTGATTTCATTCTTCATTTTCAAATCACTTAATATAGTAATGTGACTTTGTCTTCTGGATCTATTTCTGAATTATTTTGTATATGTCAGAGCAACACCTTCAACAATATTGTGACTCAGGAAGGATCCTCGCCAGGTAACAATACCCACAGCTAATTAAACCCACTGACTGCAGGGTTCTGTGCAGATGGCAAAGAATTAAGACACCGAAGTCCCTGATAGAGACAGGAGACAAACATTTTTTAAATTCCTTCTTGTATTGGTGTTGTGCTGGACATCCTTGTATGTGCTTTCTAACTGGTACCCATAGCATTCTTACTGGCTAGGACTTTTGTGAGAGAAAGCATAGCCTCAGAAGAGGTGGGTGACCCCCGCCCACCCGAGGTCTCAGACCAGGCCTCCTTAGTTCCAGAGCCTTCCCCCTCCCCCAGGAGTTCCTTGATACTGGGGTGTTCATCTTGTGGACATAGAAAGCAGGTGTTAGGTACCAAGTCCTTCTAAGAGACACAGATTTGAGGCAATTGTATGGGCATTGGGAGAGGCCAGGGAGAGATTTTTAAGCTGGTCCTTGCCACCCCCACAGCTCTCTTCTCAAGGTTCAGCTGGCCCCTTCTGGGACCCATGACTTTTTCTTTGTTACCCGATCCCCTACCACCTACAAACAGGGCTCTTTTAGGTTTAAAATAGAAACAGCGAGGCAGGGAGGGAGACAGACAGAAAGAAGCTGTCCAAACTGTTTATTAGATTTCTACAGAGCTGGGGAAACTCTATATGACGGCCTGTTTCATATGGAAAAATAATGTTGGGCTGTTGATGTTTTATGTGATATTAATGAAAACTTTTACTTCTCAATCTAATTGGATGAATAGTTAAAATGTTAGCTGTGGTGTTAGATTACATGGAAGGTGTTTATGAAAATAGCCCAGCACCCTGGGAGCTGAGGTTCTGCCAGAACTAGAGCGGTGTCACATAGGTCACTCTATCTTAACACAGTGCAGATCCGTTCACTGTCTGAGGAGAGTTTCCAGACATGAGCGCCATCCCATAGCACTGCGATCTGTGGAACCAGCTCCAGAGATTTCGCAACTAAGGAAATGTTCTGACTCTGGGCCTGTGAGGAAAGCAGAAGGCATAGGGGAGCAGGGGAGACGGCTAAGCGGTTAACAGTGCTTACCACCAAGCCTGAGGGCTTGCGTTTGATTTCTGGATACACGTGGTGGAAGGGAGGCCAAATGCCTCAAAGTTGTCCCCTGACCTCCTTTCTTTCACTTTGGCATGCAGGCCTACGCAGATACACACATGCATGTGCTAAGTAAATGTTTGTTTGTTTTTTAGGTTTTTGAGACAGGATTTCTCTGTAGCTTTGGAGCCTGTCCTGGAACTAGCTCTTGTAGACCAGGCTGGCCTTTGAACTCACAGAGATCTGCCTGTCTCTGCCTCCCAAGTGTTGGGATTAAAGGCGTGCGCCACCAACCGCCCGGCAGAGATAATTTCTAGTTAATTATGAGTATGCTGCCTTCCAGTTTTTATACAACAAGTATATGTCTTTATAAAACAGAGATTATATAACATTCCATATGGTTACAATGTATTTGTTTTATATGTATATATAGGGAGAGAGAGACTTTATGTTATAAATATAATATATATACCTCATTTATAATACATATATTTGTACCTTTAGAGGATTTTCCTTCTTAGGAAATTGATTTACTTCTCATTTGAAATATATATGTATTACATTGTTCGTCTGCAATACTTCTAGTATAGAATACTTGGATTTTATTCAGTTTTTAAAAATTATGTATTAAACAGTGATCATCGTTGGAAGTAGCGTTAAGCTTCTGGAAGTTTTTTTAACTGGGACATCACAGAAAGCTCGCTCTTTTGTCAGTGCATATTGAAAGCTCTGGGTAAAGGTGGTTCCATTCAAGAGGGGGCTTCGGGGCTGGAGAGTTGGCTCAGTGGTTAAGAGCATTATTGCCTGCTTTTCCAAAGGTCCTGAGTTCAAGAGGGGGCTTCTCTGCTTGCGTTCTGCAACACTGAGTCTCTTTAACATCTCTTTTTTCCCTGTTTCCTATGATACTTCCAGTGAGAGTGTTGCAAATACAAGATAGTGTAAGAGGCATGGAAAGTGTCTGGGGCAGAGGGAAGACTGAGCAGGGATAGGCTGCGGGGAGTAGCTGCATGGGGGGAGCCTCGGGTACTGTTTGCAAGCATAGCGGGCAAGACCTTGGAACAACTGCAAGAGCTGGGTTTGCACCCACCTTTTAGGACCTGAGGACCAAACAATTCTGGGTCTCCTCCAGTCCTCATGGGAGATAATTCTAGGTAAACCGGGCAACGGAGTGGGTGCAATCTATACATGATTGATTCGCCAGCCTCGTCGGGTAGCCCCGTCAGCATCCTTCCCGGCACCTCCTCAGACTCAGGCAGGCTCCAGTGCTCTCAACCCTTCTGAAGGCCAATGTCTCCTGTTTACAGGAAACAGCTTCTCAAATCCCTGTCAGAAAGGTGACCCCAGCCTCTGGCCTTCGCAGACAGAGGGCTGAACACCTGAGTGTTGACAGGCTTCCCCGGTGTCGCTCCTCTGTCCTCAGAAGCAGTGATAAAGCTGCGTGTGTCAGAGTGCGGCATGTGTTTCCCATCAAGCAAGCGTCAGTGTGCAGAGGTTCATTGCTGGGAGAGAGGCCCGCGAGTGAGGCAACCAGGAGGATGAAAACCACTTTAATAGGCTTACGTCGTGAGGTCTTTACTACCACGACTCTCGCTGTGTCTTTCAGATGGCCTTAATTTGAACCCCTTAAAGTTTCTGGTTTTTGACTGGAACTGGAGAGATCAGAAGCTAAGGAGAATGATGGACATTCCCGAGGTAATGTGTAATCAGCTGTTGTCTTTAATCTTTTTTTTTCCCAATTTGAACTTGAGTTCAAACACAATAATAAAGTCTTTGGCTTGAGGAGCCAGCACATTCTAGCTTTGGAAATAATTTCTGTCTTTAACGCTGAGGTAACTATTATAGAGCCATCCCATCCGCTTACACATAACTGTATCCTTCCCATGTGTATTATACAGTCTGCTTGGTCGCCCACTAAATGACCATGGCCCCTGCCCCACTAGGACATCTGTACTTCAAAGAAGCTAGACGATCTGGAGGACTTGCCCTTTTCCTGTGCCTCTCATCACAGGCACACTCATCTCTGCCACTTATTCTTCCATATACAGTTTTGGCCAAAGACGGGGAGGGGGGGCTGCCTCATGACTGGCTTCTTCACATCCCCACAAAACCTACTTACATAATTTACAAAGATGTTTTCATTTTGTGTGGAGGGTTTCTACGTCTCAGTGGATTCAAACAGAACGACTGGATGCCTTTGTGGGCACCGCACACACAGCTCACTGTATATTTATGAAAAATAGTTCATTGCCCTCATAATGTAGAAATTTCATTTTGCCACCCACCATGTTATCATGGAACAATTTTTCAATCTAATCTGATATTGTGGAGAGGGGGTCATATAATAATAAATAAGGCTGTCAATCACCTACGAGGACTAAATCATGCCAGTAACTGAAGCTTGGGGTTAATTTGCCACATAAAACTACTTCCCCAAACCGAACCGAGTTCATTATAATTGACTGACGAGTTGTATTAGGCATCAGTTCGAGATAAAATCCATTGAGATGCACACACATATACATAGTAGGGTGCACTCTGCCTCCATGAAGAACCTTTTTAACTAGTTTCAGCCACGAGGCCAGATTTGATGGTTTGTGATGTGGTGTTAAATCCAAGGAATCCACCGTACATCATAGGTAGTTTTATTACGTTCATACCATTAACAATTATCACAAGGTAGTCAATCTTAGTGGATCCTTGCGTGAAAATCTGGGTTACCTAAAGCACTTTGGAGTCTCTGGACATATCTGTGGCCTTTTCTTTTGGATGGATGCGAACATAAAGGCTTATGAGGAAACATTTAATGAAACTGATGTTTTACATAGTCCTCTTCCTTGTGTGACTCTCAACTCTGGATCAAACATGGGCAGAACTTTCCCTCTCTGATCCTGGCTATAACAGCTGTACGAACACCTGGAATCCTAGGTGTGGACTTTGCCCTCTCTCATTCTGGCCATAGCAGCTGTATGAACACCTGGGACTCCAGGTGTGGACTTTGCTCACCAGGACTACTTTTGTGTGATGCTAATGTTTCTATTGTTTTTTTTTTCTTTCATTTAGATAAAAAAGGAAGTGTTTGAGCTTCTAGAAGTGGGAGTGTTGGACCTTTGCAAATCAGAGTCCTTGAAGCTGGGCCTTTTCTAACCCTGGGTCCTGAGGAAGTGTCCAGTTGCCAGCAGGCTGCAAGTGCTCAGTCGCTAGCTACAGTGGTGTAGCTGTGTTAGTCCTGGTCACTGTGAACGCTTCATGGGGATTCTTGGACACCTATGCTATGAGCCTGTCCTTTGGCTCATGGCTCATACAATAAAGAAGCTCTGGCTTGCATATGCTGCCTTTGTTGAGCAGACTGAGTTTTTCTTCCTCCTCTCCTTTGACTGTGTGTGGGACAGGAAGCAGCAGCTGAGAACCTGAGCCTGAACTCTCAGCATCAGTCTTTGAGGGTGCAAAATGGAACACCTCACAAAACTCGCAGAGAGGCCGCTGTAAACTAAAGCATGGTGTCTGGGGCTATAAGTCAGAAGTAGACTTCCCACAAGTGATTAGGGGATCTGGAAACCAAAATGCATCCCCTACCCCCATCCCGGAGAAGGCTCAGGGTTTTAAGCACTTTTAGTGGCCTGGGATGAGGCCCCCTTCCCTCATTTCTGATTGGTCAGACCAGACAGAGAAAGGTGAGCTACTGGACTCAGAACACTTGTCAGGCAGGTCAGCTAGAAGGGATCCTGATTGGTCTTTGTCATAGCTTGAAAGGAAGCTGGACACACAGCATCTTGTTATTTGTGGTCTTTTCCTAGCTCTGCCTCCTACATTCCCTCTCTGGGAAGCATGGTCTCAGCACACAGTGCGGCCCACAAATATAGCAAAAGCAAGTATACCAAGGACAGGCAGATGATAAATACAGCAGTCCTATCCATTTACATGTTTTGACTTTTTAATTTGAAATAATTTCCACTAGGCACAATTTTTGCAGAAATAATGTAGGTAATTCGCATGTCTCCTTCCCCAGGTTCTCTCAATGTTACCATCTAATAATATACCCAGTGCACAGGTACCAAAACTGACAAACCAACATCAGCACAGTGCAGTTAAACTGGAAATGTTACTGTGATGTCACAAGTCTTTCCTCTGATGGCCCCTGGAGGATCCTGCTGCTCTTGTTCTTCCTCATGGTGACAGCCGTCACTCTCCGCTTCTCTGATGACCTCACGGGATGCGTGCTCATCATTCTGCTTGTGAGCTTTCCTAAATTCCCATTTTCTCTATTATGATGTGAAGTCTTGTGGGTTTTGGTCAGAACCACAGTGGTAGTGTGTCCATCTCTCTGTGTCGGATCAGGGGATGCATAAAGTCATTGTGTCTTAGTTCCCATGACATCAGCCTTGAACACCTGGTGAAGGTGCCATCTGCCACTTTCCTCCATGGAAGAAAGATGTACCATTTTCCCCTTTGTAGTCAGTATCTGTCTCGGAAGAGATGCTTTAAAGATCTGTAAGTGCTTTTGTCTTCAAGGCACCCAGTAATTTTTAGCAGCCAAAGATCATGACTGCAGTATCTTCTCTATTCCTTGCATTCTTTTCATCTTCATTGGAATCCCTGTGAAAAAGAGCTTTCCTTTTTCTTAGTTTCTTTGTTAGTTTTATTTTTTTTTACAGCAATGAGGACATGTGAATATTTTATTCTATGGGTTATAATACATTACTATTCTATTTTATTGATTTTTTTTTTTGCTTTGTTTTGTTTCAAGACAGGTTTTCCCTGTATAGTTCTGACTGCCCTGGAACTTGCTCTGTAGACAGACCATGCTAGCCCCAAACTCAGAGATCACCTGCTTCTGCCTCCTTAGTGCTATGTTCAAAGGTGTGTGCCACCATACCTGACTACTGATCAAATTCCATTTTGTTGGAGGCTGGAGAGATGACTCAGGGGTTAGGAGCACCGGCTTTTCTTCCAGAGGACCCAGGTTCAATTCCCAGCATCCATAAGGCAGCTCACAACTGTCTGTCACTCCAGTTCCAGGAGACCTGACACCTTCACACTAATGTACATAAAATAAAGCTCAATTTTCAGAAAAAAATCCGTTTTGTCACTCATATAATTATGCACTCTGTTCTAAGCATGATGTGTACAAGTCAATATATAGTCTGCCTCATCATTGAAACAGTCCTAAAAGTATTGTCCACATTTTAATTCATTTTTTGTTTGTTGTTTTGAGACAAACTCTCATTGTGTATCCCTTGACTGTCCTGGCATTCACCATGTAGACCAGACTAGCTTAAAATCTCACATATTTCTACCAGCTTCTACTTCACAAGTGCTGGAATTGATGCATGCATCACTATGTCCAGTTCTTGTTCATATTTTGTAGACAATAAAACTGAGTCCCACAAAGAACATGCATGGTTCAAATAATAGAAATGAAAGTCAAGCCCAGGACTCAGAGTTCATTCAGGAAATCAAGCTGTCTTTTTAGAAACTCGAGATACAAAAAACAGATGATAAAGGAAAATGGATGCCTTTGCAGATAAATTTCACATTGGAGTTATTCTAGCTCATCACAGTCCAGCAAAGCAGACACTCCTGCACTCTAGTGAGCACACCTGGGCACCTCAGGCTGCCACGCCAGCGTTCAGAGAAGACAGGTGTGCACTCCATCTTCAGTGATCCTGGTCAGAGCTCAACTAAGGAAAAAGAAAGGAAAGCCACTCTGGGCATGAAATTCTGTTCAAACTATTTGAAATTATGTTATGTCAAAGCAAACCCTGTTGCTTTTATCCTTTTAACCCTAATAAGTGAGATTTCCCTAACCAGTGGTAAATAAAATGGATCACATAGCTTCCTAATCCAGGCCTGTTACTGTTTGTCAAGCGACATCTTAGATAATCTAGAAAAACACATAGCAGGCATAATTTCCTATGAAGACATTGCAGTCTAAGTCTGTCAGAATTCAGAACAATCCACCATGTTGCCCTTAAAGCTGAGACTATTGGGAATATTGGAAGTGTCCACCCCGTACACATAACCCTGCCCTGACTCTACACATATTTACTATATTTGCATCCCTGCAGGTAATAGGAAAAGACAGTTAGATGCAAGTCAGTCCAGATTTGTAAAGTGTGTGCTATTGCCCTGAAGGTGTGAACTGCAGTCCTACAAACATTAGCCACCATCACTGCCTTACCCAGAACAGCTGTTACAACTGTTGACATTCCTGCATAGAACAGAAATTTGAGAGTCATTAGACCTTCAGCTAAGATTCCAGCTGCTGCTTTCTGCAGCCTACTGCCCTCCACATGTAGTTCCGCCCCAACTGCATGTGGTCTTACGAGTTACTAAAACATAGCCGGTAGACCATTTAATGAAGAATAGACTCCACCTATGCAGTGATGACAGCGTTATCATCCATGCTGGGATGAGAATAAAGCAATGTAGCTGTTGGGGGCCTAGTACCCCCATCTTCCTGCAAGTACATGCAATAAGATCATTGATTGAATGAGGTACACTGCATTGGAATCATTACTTTGGTCTGTCATTGGTTCTGTCTCCAGTGAGTAGACACATGTTCGCATCTCCTCCTAAAAAGTGTATGTATATACCGGAAGATTGTATCATTGTTAAAGAAAAAAGAAAGGCACGGTTTGAGAAAATCCTTCTCCAGGCTTTCTAATGAGACCACCACACAACAAGCTACTGGCAAATAGGTATCAGTTCAGAACGGTACTTAGACAGGCAATTTTCTACCCCTTAAGGTACACTTGCTTGTTTTTTTTTTTTTTTCCTACGAGACAGGGTCTCCACTAGCCTTGACTGGCTTGGAACTCCTATGCTGGCCAGGCTGGACTCGAACTCAGAGGTCCTCCTGCCTCTGCCTCTCAAGTGCTGGGCTAAAAGTATATGCCACTACCGCTCAACTTCAGAGTTGCCTAAAATTATGTTTAGCTGCATGCTGGGGTAGGAGGCTACTATTGGCATCCAGTCGGAGGTATGACGGACACTTAGCTGGTCTAAGTCGAGTGCAGCTAAATATTCTGTGCCACACAACAGCTATCCAGTTGTCAAAAGTGTTGTAGTTGAGGAAACTTGATTATTAAAAAGCAAGCAAATGAAATGTACTTACAAGTGTAAATTATATTATTTAGAACTTGGTTTAAGTTAAGGCCCACTCCATGAGATGGATCCATATTCGAAACTGCTAAACTGATCAAGAACCTGAGGTCACTTATGGGCCCTAGGAAAAACCTACAACTCTTACTCTGCTAAAGGGGCCGCAATAAAATCACTCCTAATAACATAATACCCATCGATCCGTGCCTCTTACTCAACCCTCATCAGAGAAGATTCTTCTTGCAGCCGATGATAAAAAAGACGCAGAGCTGGTCAATTGTCAGAGAGTTAGAGACTGGAGCACTTGGTCCTAAGTGAGATGTCATCACCAAACCCCTCCCCTCGAGGCTCGGGGATCTATTTATGTGGTAGAAGAGGCAAAAAGACTGTAAGAGCCAGAGGTGATGGATGACTCCAAGGAAGCAGCGTCTTCTCAACACAACAGGAGTGAAACACGTGTTCACAGAGCCTGTGACAACAGGTACAAGACCGGAGCCATGTTCAAGCAGCGTCTTCTCAACACAACAGGAGTGAAACACGTGTTCACAGAGCCTGTGACAACAGGTACAAGACCGGAGCCATGTTCAAACCACACATGATCCCAGCACTGAGGAAAAGACTGAACACAAAATCCCACCCCCAGTCAAGAAGCTCTTAGCAATTGATACCTGCTGGGAAAGGAAAAGCTGTTTTCTCCCGTGGAATGGCCTGGGTATAGCAACCACAGTCCACGAAAGACCCCTGACTAGGAATAGTTGGCCAATAGAAAACAAAGTCTAAAGTTTGGGAGATTTGTTTTGTTGTTATTATTTTTGTGGGCTTTTTCTTTTCATTTTGTTTTGCTTGAGTTATTTTTTTGCCTTATTAGATTTTTGTGGTTTTTTGGTTTCCGACAGGGAATATGAGGTTAAATAGTGGTGGGGAGGAATTGGGAAGGAAGGAGTGTGATCAAAATATATTGTGAGAAAATTTTAATGAAAACTAAAAGATCAAAGGTTTAGAGAAAGGATTAACTATAAAAAGGTGGCTATATAATGCGCATCTGGTTATCTCTCTTAAGAATGATACTTGCACTTACTGACTATGGTTATAGACTTTAATATGTCTACTTGGTGGAGCCACATGGTGCCAGAGAGTTGGTGAGGTACTGTTCTGGGGGGTTGGCTATTATAAGAGTAACACTGAAGTCATTTGACTTAATTAAGTCAGATTGCTGTCCATTACAGGAGTGAGATTCATCCCTTCCATTTAAGACCAGAAGTGAATACTGAGGCCCCCACCCCCAAGTAACAGAATTCTAACTGAAAAACTGGTCTTGCTAAGGTTACGCCAGTCTGTTGGTCTTCAGGACTCAACTGGACACTGACCAGACTGCAGACTTAGGACTGAGCCTCTATTATTGTGTGAGACAATTCTTTATAATATATACTTATGTGTCTATGGATTTGATTTTCTGGACAGGCCTGTTTAACACACTACCTGTGAAGCTTCTTAAAGTCTGTCATCTTGTTTTATAAAAACAAGTTAATGAATACTGTTCTTAATGGTTATAGAAATAACCCTTTTATTGAACTTAGTTGTTTGAAAATTGGAGTAGGACCTTAAGTCACAAACGTGCCTGATGTCTTGTGGGACAGTTTTATACATACAAATCTAACCTGTACTCTGTGGCTGTTCTTTAAACCCATACTCTTAGCCATGTTCACTTAGCAATACTACTTGTGTCCTCTGACATCTCACACACACTGGAGGGTGACAGCAGCCATCCGTCTAGCTGCCACTTGCAGGGCAGAGTCAAGTGGCATGCTGAAAACTTCCTGTGCATAATTTGCTGTTTGTTTGTTTGTTTGATTTGCAAGTATAAAGATTGATTCTGAACTGGAAACCTACTGTATATATTTGCATTTCCTTGATATTTTAAATCAGGTCCATTTGTCATTGCGTTCATTGACACATCATGGCTTCTCTGTCTACTTTAGAAAATTCCAAGTCTTTGTCTTCTCTAGCAGTTTGTTAAAGGAATGATTATAAATTGTTAATGACCAAAGTAGAAAACCCTCAAACCAGAGCTAATACTGTATTGCAAGGCTGAATATTTGATAATGTTTCACTAACCTCTAATGAGTAGATTTGAGAGAGGCTAAAGGGAGACTTTTTCTTTCAAGATTTTTATTTTATATGTATGAATATTTTGCCTGAATCATGTGCACAAGTATTTTGTCTGTGTGCCATGAGCATGCAGTACCTGGACTTAAAGACACTTGAGAACTACCACATGGGTGCTTGGAATCAAGCCTGGGTCATCAGAAGAGCAACCAGGTTAGCCACTGAGCCATCGCTCCAGCCCAAGAAGGAAATGCAATCTACATTTTCTGCCTGGGCCTTTCTTATTTATAAAATGTAGAAAGAAAGCGACTGAAGTTAAATACAAGCACATATATCCTGCAGATTCCTGTCTGCTTCTCCTTTCTGTATCGTCACAGCACAGCAAAACTGCTGTGATCTCAGACTATTTTTCCAACTTAGTTCTTATTCGCATTAGCCGTATTTGGGGGAAAGCCGATAGGCCTGGCTTCAGTTGGGATTAATCACCAAAGATTTACACAACAGACCTCAGAAACAGCCCACAACAACTGCTTCTGAGCATGAGCAGTTGGTTTTTACAGACGTTGAGGAAGAGCTCTCTTGGGCATAGCATTTAACACAAGAGGCTTTCTGATTTGAAATAAAGTGCACCCAGCACCCAGGGACTGGCGAGAGCTGTGCACTGCAGGTAGCGGGTCTGCTGAGAGAACAAGACAGGAAGCAAACATGACGTCACAACTTCATGTCATTCTTTATATAGCATTAGCATTATGTGATATTACTACAAGCATGACTGTTCTTAATGTCACAAAAGTATGTCAGTCACCTACAGGACCAAAATGGAGCCGATGCCCCAGTATGACCTGTCCAGACTGCCGGAAAACACAGCCCTGAAGCAGCAGACGCTGCCTGCCCACCAGCTGGAATTATCTGCCTCGGTGGTCCTCTCTATCTTTTTTGCCACAGGAGGGTTCTGCCTCTGTATGGGCATCATCCTTCTACTGTCTGCAAAGAGCACCAGGGAAATTGAGGTTTGTCATGTCTCACATGTTTAATTTCCAAAGCTGTTCGGTTTGGGATTATAGATGGGAGCAGTCACGTTGAGAACACAGCCCCTAATTGGAAGCTGGATGTGACCAGACCCACCCAACTTTGTGCTGGGAGGAGCCAGATGGGGAAAGAGCCCTTAGCGTTGACTTCATTCATTCTCGCTGTCACACTGGTCACCTCCAGCCACACGTCTGTACAAGATCCCGCCCAAGTCAGCTGATCTTAGAGAAGTGAGCAAGCAAGAAACAGGTAGAAGGAGAGCGGCGAGCTCAAAAGCCTGCCAGACCCCAATAGTCCATATGTTAATGAGCCCAGAACCAAAAATAGAGATGTTGGGTTTTTTAAAAAGCATGTGAGCTTTTAAATGTTATTCTTGTATAATTAATATGCCATGGTTGCAACAGTTTACGGTGCACAGTGAGTTATTTTAGTATACGTTTACTGAGCAAATCAAGGGAATCGCGATTTCCTCTCCTTTCTTCTAGCTACTTTCTTCTACATCTCCATGAAATCTCTAGAAAGCTGACCCGTAGACATACTGCTGTACTGTGGAGCATAGGATCCCTCTTTCTGTGTTGGTTCACCCCATTCTGCTCTGTCCCCCTCCCACTGCCCTTCCTGGTCTCTGACTAAGTAGCTCTTCTCTCTGAACGTGAACTGTCGAAGCTTCCGTCCACCCGTGAGAGCAGGCAACAGTTGTTCTGATGTCCTTCATATCCATTCATTTTGCTACACATGATAAGATTTTGACTTTGTGATCAAACAATATTCCATTGTGATATACTCCATCTTCTTTATTCATCCATCACTGGACAATGAGATCAATTCCATAATACTTTGAAGAGGACTCCAAAAAATGCGGGAATGTGGGTATCTTTTTAACGTGCTAATTTCATGGTCTTTAACTATATCCTCAATGAGAGGAATAATCACTCTTTTGACAGGTCACTCCTCTCAGATTCTGTAAATAGCAGACTACAGTCTTTGCTCCATTTTTATTTATAGGCTTACAAGCTCACTGGACACTGAATTTCAAGATACCGTCATTATCAGCAGATAGTGGGATACGTATTTCTCACTAAAATTCTTAGCGGTAGAAAACATCAGAGATGCCTGTATGGTCATGAAACACTTCTTCTGACCCTATGTTTCCGTAACTCGGAGTGGAATCTGTGAAATAAAGTGCATTCTAGTGTGACATCACTGATAGATAGACTGTTACAGAACGTTTTTGATGATCAAAACTTAGGGTCCTAGAGATCAAATATTATAATCCCCGTGTCAAAAGAAGAGTTGACCACACTGGAGCCCCAGGCCCCTTGGTGTGGTTCCGTGTGCTGTCTGTGCTTGCTCTTGCCTGGCATACCGTCCTGTTCTTTAGGAAGTGAAGCACAGTCCCACGACCAGAAAAGTAGCCATCCGAGCCATGCCACGTGTGCAGAAAATGGTGACTTAGAGCATTGGTGGCGTTTAGATATTCACACTTCACTTCTCTTTCACAAAGAGCCTATATTTCTTCTTTCCTGTTAGTTCTCTCTCCAAAAGAAGCCTGCATCCTACTGGCACCTTAGCAAAGGGAAAGGCACTCTTCTTGCTTCTCTGAGCTTCTACTCTCCCAGAATCCTCTTCATCATAGCCAGGGAAGCAGAAGCTGCCCACGGGATTTGGGAACACGCAGCCCCTGGGCCCCATCTCTGAGCCTCCCCTCGCAATCTCTCCCAGCTCCATCCTCCCAGAACTGAGGCTGAGTGCCTTGCCAAAGCACACAGCAGTCACTCACTAGGGACACTTGACTCTTTTTTAAAGGATAATTCATTATATAATTTTTCCACAGAATTTAACATTCAAAAAGCAGAACACACCTTCTCAGGCTGAGAATGATTCCACATACATTAATAATCTTATTGGGAAATAATGTCTTCCTGCTTGGTCACTTTTAGTAACTTCCTCAGGGTGTCATGAGGAATAATTAATATGGATATTTTCCATACAATAAAATGGAAAATAGTGAGTTCCCTGTAAAGGTGATTAGACTTGGGCTGTAAGCACAGTTTCACGAGTCACTGACTGAGCCTTTCCCAGCAACACATCCCCCCACCCCGTGACTGAGAAGGAAGCTGCCTCATCCCCACTGATCAAATAAGTATGCAACAGAAACGTGGAGTCCGAGCCAGTGGCAAAATGACTCCTGGTGACCAAAGGGAAGACTGTAAGAAGGCCTCCTCCCAAGCACCCCAGAAAAGAACACCCACACAGCAGGCTGTCCTCCAGCCATAAGAACTGAAGACTCCAGATAAGGCGTGGGCATTGAATTTTAAGATGTGGATTCATATGACCTTTACATGAACTGTTGTGTTTTCCTGCCTGCCAGATTAATTACACAAACACATGTGCACATTGTGCTCAGCTACGGGAAAACAGCTCTAACTTTGACAAAGAGTGCACCTGCTCTGTCCCCTTCTACCTGAAGGAGAAAATGGAGGTGAGTTCAGTGCACCGCGTGCTGGTGCCCCTTCAGTTATTCCTGCCTGATGGTCTTGCACTCTCCAGCAGATGTTTTCCAAAACCTGAAAACTATGGAAAGGGAGCACAGTAGAAATGGTGAATCTTGAGTCACTGACCCTGCAACCCCAGAATGCCCTTTTGTGTCGTTATTATTGTTTCCTGTTTGTAAACCTTGAGATTCTTTATTAAGATTTAATTTATTTATTTTACAACCCTACCGCAGTTTTTCCTCCCTCCTCTCCTCCCATTCCTCCCCCCACCTCTCCCCCACCTGCCCACCCCCATCCACTCCTCTGTTTCTGTTCAGAAAGAGGCAGGCCTCCCATAGGTATCAACAAAGCATGGCATATCAAGCTGTTATAAGGTTAAACACTTCTCCTTTTATTTAGGCTGGGCAAGGCAATCCAGTATGAGGAATGGGTTCCCAAGAGCAGCCAAAGGGACAGCCCTTGCTCCCATTGTTAGGAATCACACAAATAGACCAAGCTACACAACTGTCACATATATAGAGAGGACCTAAGTTGGTCCCATGCACGCTCCCTGATTGCTGGTTCAGTGAGTTCCTATGAGCCCAAGTTAGTTGATTCTGTGGGTTTTCTTATGATATCCTTGGCCAGTTCAAGCTGTGTGTCCACTATTGCTAGGAGTCTTAGCTGGGGTCACACTTGGAGGTTTGTGGGAGTTTCCCTTGCATCGGGCTCTACCTGTACCCAAAAAGCCTGCCCTCAACCTCAAGATTCTAAACTTTCCAACATGGCTTGTATGACCAGTCACATGGGTTCTATTATAAATATCTGTGTGGACAGGGCTATAGAATGTATTACATTTAACACCTCATGCTACGTGAAATTGTTAATGGACCGAGAAGTTACGTGACTTGGCCGAGGTCACACATTAAACTAGTGTCAAGAGTTTTACCTGGCAGACTTCTCCTTGGATTCTCCTTCCCCAAGTCATCTTATAAGGGCAGTTACTCGATCCCAAAAGAGGCTTTCAGTCTGGCTCACTGGCAGTGTGAAGAATGCCAAGACATACAAAGATGAACCCCTGCTGTTGCCGGATTCAGCTCTCATGTTCATACAGGTCCTGGGGAGATTTGGTGACGAAACTTCCCAGAGCAGAAGGCAGCAAGGAGAGCTGTCCACTCTGACCTTTAGGAAAGGGAGGGAAGGGAAAGGGGAGGGGAGAGGACAGTGCATGGAGTTTCAAGAGATGATAAGGACTTAGGTTTGGGACCAGCTGAATGAGCTGTAAGCCCGAAGGTGGGGTGCTCGGTGAGGAGAATGAGAGAAAACAAGACTGTACCTGAATTTCTATGTGTAGTGGCATTCTGAAGGACAAGAGGGACCAGGCCTGGGGGTGGGCACTGAGAGGAAGGGGTGCTGAATCTAGGGTACAGAATAGACATTTGAAATATCTTTGTAAAGTAAAATAAAATACATTTTTCATTTAAGTCATGCCTGTTAGGCAAAACCACAGAGGCCTAAAAAATCTCTCTTCCGCTCTCCCTGCCAAGTGGGCAGCTGAGTGGTGACTTCCAGGGGATCTTATGAGCCAGTTACTAAAGTAGGCTCTCCCCAGAAGAGAAGCCTCCAGGCATGTCAGCTTCCTGAAGTCTTAAGAAACACTGTGGCCTGCGGCCTTCCTTGTTCTAGTCCTTGCCTTCTCCTAGCTCCCAAGTTGGTCCATACCTCTCCTGAATCCTCTTCTCTTTCTTTCCTTCTTGAAGGCTCAGAATTTTTAAATTTTGAAGGAAGAAAAAATCCCAAAGAGAAAACCTAGTATCAATTCTCACCTCTCTGCGTGACCGTGGGGGAAAGCACCGACCTTGCTGCTAAGTTAATGACATTCACAAGGAACTTCTAGTCCCCTGGCTCCCACGTGCCCAGCATGTGCCTTCACCTGCCCCGTGTATGCTCAGTTCACCTGCCTTGTGTATGCTCAGTGACTCCAGTTCTAAGTTACATCACCTGAATTTACTTTGAAACTGTATCCGTAGCTTTGGGTGCTTGTATCAATGCAACACTCAAAAGGTTCGGTGTATGTTTGTCCTCCCCTAAAGAAGCATTGAGACAGCTTCTGAAATGGAAGATAGAATGGTGACCACCAAATGGCTGTGTGCAGCTTCAGCTTGGGGCAAAGACAAGTCCTGGGGCCATCTCACTGAGCAATACACGCAAACCCACAGTCCACCCCGCCAGTCAGCACCTCCTTCAAGTCACTCTCTGGCAACTATCCCACAAACTCAGAACCATGTTCCATACAAGGAGGTTCATACAAGGTTGTTCATCTAAAGCCAAGTCCCCACTGAAATGCTCAGTGTGCCGGCCCTCATTCCTCCCAAAATATGCTCACTACCCCCTCTTGTCCACCCAGCTGCTCCTAGACTGCCATTTAGGACAATGAGACAGCACCACGGAGGTCCCTAACCTAAGCAGCGGCTGCTGGGGCTACTCCTGCTGTCCACGATGCCATAATATAAATACACTGCAGGAGCGCATCTCCAGCAACATCTTAACACATAGCCTGTTCTTCCTGCACAAGGCCCTTAACTGTTGACTGCTGTCCCACTCCAAAGCACCAGCAAATCCTGGGTGAGCAGCAGCTTCCTCTTAACCCGACCACACCTTCACTCTTCCTGGGGAAATCGCTGGAATGTTGTTGAATATTAATTACTCAAACCACTTCAGCTGCTCGGGAAAGCTTACATCAGACTGGCTGATGTTCCAGCTGTTTCAGATTGATTGGGGACCCCCAAAAAGAAACTTGTGTTTCATCAAAGAAAAATATCTAGATATTGAAATCTTGTAAATAGTATTTTAAAATTTTAGAGCATGATATGCCAAGCATTTTTCCTAGTATTGCCACAAAGAGACAAATTTCATAAGTCTGCATTTTGCCTTGAAAATACACAGCCTAGGGCTGGGCATGGTGGTACACGCCTTTAATCCCAGGACTCCAGAGGTACCTTATTTGCTTCTTATTTCTCTCCATGCAGGGTAATGTTTATATGTACTACAAATTGTATGGTTTCTATCAAAACCTCTATCGATATATTCTATCAAGAAGCAATAGTCAACTGGTGGGCAAGGATATTTGGGTAAGGCTCAGTCCCATTTGGTATAATACTCTCTTCTTTTTAACAAGGGGTTATTTCAGTCTAAGAGACAGGAGTGGGGCAGGGCTCAGCATCTAGATTTTTGAAGATAGAAATGTTTGCTTCATTCTTAAAGTGAAGTGGCTGAGCATATTAGGTAAATACTTTTGGGATAGGGCACTGGGCCCCTTTAAAGCAGTTAGTGTGAGTGCTAGCCAACTAACTATTCTTTGCGCATTTGCGAAGACCGTGATCTCTGTTTGGTTCACTTGTTAACCAAGTTTGTCTGCCTTTCTATAACCAAGGTCCTTGATCTAGCCTACTTAAAGGAAACTTGCTTGAATAAAAGCCTTTGGTTCAACTAAGTACAAAAGCCTGAGTCTAACCTAGGCTTCCAAGTTTTTATTCTCAGTAGTCCTATGTTAGTGAGAGAAGCTAGGTGGATTGTTTCCCAATCTGACAGTCCATGAAGTGATAACCTAGCAGTTCCCTGTGAGGTCATCTAGCTATGGAATCTGACCTGAATACTCCTCTGAATATGGTAACTTTACCAAAAGGATTTTTAAAAGTGGTCCCATGTAGACTGAATGTGATACTCAGCATAGGAAGGTAAAAATCCTTCCCGCAAATAGTTTTTGGCGTGCTCTGTATTGCTAAAAAGGATATAAAACACCTAGACATCCATATGCACGTATGTCTCCAAAGGCTGAACGTTTTCTAGTCTAAGTGAGCCAGAAACCCTGGGGAAAACAGGTAGCAGCCGTCCATAATCTTTACCCATGCCAACGCACTAATGAGAGTTGGTGCTCATTGCCAGAGTTCTCTCCTGCAATGGTCTGAGAGTTTGCCAAGAGCACTTCTCACTGATACATCATCTCACACACAGGATGTTAGGAACTGCGCCCCGTTCCAGGTGTCCCACAACAGCACTCCCATCATTCCCTGCGGTGCAGTTGCCAACAGCATATTCAATGGTAGGTGACTTGTTTTCTGCCTCTTTCATAAGGGTGTAGCCACCTCCACACTCAGGATGTTACCCGGGCAGCTGAGTGGCTCGTTTTATTTGCTTGCTCAATGCCAAGTATTTATCCAGGATAAGCCAGAACACTGATTCTGGAGTTTCGTTTGTAAATAACTTCTCCCTCGCCAGCAATCTGAAGGAACAGTCAGAGGAACACAAATTAGACGGGGCCAAAGAATATTTTTCAATAATTGGCTCAGTGTTGGTAAAGGAAACACTGATCTCATGATTCAGCATCCATGGCATGTAGGCGTGTTGAGTGTCTGCAACAAAACCTAATTTGTTTTTCATCTGTGTCTGGGTCTGCATTTTAAAAGGTGGCAAAATGGCTACCTAACATCTTTACCGTAATTTTAAATTTACTTTCAGATACCATAACTCTTTCGTATCACCTTAATTCGTCTATACATATAGAAGTCCCGATGCTAAAGAGTGGGCTTGCATGGTGGACAGATAAGTATATCAAATTTCAGAACCCAAGAACCAGTGATCTTGCTAGTGCGTTTGCAGGTAAGATCCAGACAGATGCTCCATAGCCTTACTCGGCCCCCCACCCCATTTTTGGAGACAGGGTCCCCCTCCTTAGCCTTGGCTGTTCTCAGCTCACTGTGCACACCAGGCTACTGTAGAACTCAGAGATCTGCCTGCCTCTCCTCCAGAGTGCTGAAGTTAAAGGCGTGTGCTGCCATACCTGGTTCCATGTGTGTGTGTGTGTGTGTGTGTGTGTGTGTGTGTGTGTGCTCACTCGCATGCGCACACACGTGCATGCAGGGAGATCTTTTATTATTATTATTATTTCTATAACTCCTGTTGCTCTAACTTTCCCCATCCTGGACCCATTTCCTCATTGTTTACCTACTACAACTGTGAAATAATTGGTCTCTATTTTGTCAAATAATTGTTTTGTTCTAATTAACCATTAAGACATACTGTGGAGGGGTGAGAAAGGGATTCTCTGTGTAGCCTTGGCCGTCCTGGAACTCGCTCTGAAAACCAGACTGGCCTTGAACTCAGAGATCTGTCTCCTGCCTCAAGGCATGAACTGCCTTGCCCAACTTCAACTGGATACATTTTTGAGAATAAAAGTAACTATCTACTTATTTTAATTTTTCTGTATTAATTAATAAATCGACATAGTATTGACAGACCCATCAAACCTACTCAAATCTACTCTAAATTTTTTAAGTCTACTTTCAACAATGCTAGTTTTTCAAAAATTAAAATATATAAATGCTTATGAAACGTCTTTTGAAATATTTGCTTTAGTAATTATCAAACATTAAAAGAGAATACCATAGAATAATTTTCCTGAATACCCATTTGCATGCTTAATAGGTTTCTTAACCATCTGTGTTAGGACATTATTTTAATTATTTCAAAACATTGTCTGAAACTTTAAAAAAATGAAATCTGTAGTTAATCAGTTTGAGCTTGTCAGCACCTTTAAATGAGTCTTCTCCCATTCTCAAGAGTCTGAGTAAATACCATCTCCATAGTAGTAGTCAGTTTTGTTGAACGGAGTAGTGTCTTAGTGAGAGATTCTGTTGCTGGGGTACAGGGTTAGTTAGGCTTACCCTCCAGCACTGCTGTTTGTCTCTGAGGGAGGGCGGCACAGGAACTTGAACAGGGCAGGATCCTGCAGTCAGGAGCTGATGTGGAGGGCCTGGAGGGGAGCTGCTTACTGGCTGGCTTCCCATGGCTTGCTCAGCCCACTTTGTACAGAACCCAGGACTAGCAACCCAGGGATGGCAGCACCCACCTTGGACGGGGCCCTCCACCACTGATGAATAAAAGAGCAAATGCCTTACAGCTGGACCTCATGGCAGCACTTCCTCAGCTGCGGCTCCTTCCTCGCTGATGACTGGCTTGTGTCAGATTGACACACAAAACCAGATGGGACAGAGGAGAATGGCAATTTTTATTTCATTGTAGTGAATATGCTAGTATTTTAATCCAAGGATTTTCATAGGCAATTTTTTTGCTTCACAGTTTTTTCTATTTTTGATTGTTTTTTAATGTGTCGTGAAGTCTAGATGCTACAGTATGAATCAGTATGAATCCTGGACTTTCTCAATATCACTTTATTCTAGCGCAAAAAAATCCTAACACAAAGTGACAGTGCTACCAATAGTCTTTGTGGAAGTCAACATAATCCGAGGCCTAATTATAAAGTATAAAATTCAATGTTCTTTTGAACTACCGTGATGTAATCTGTCCAGTCATCCCTCTGCTGTCACCTTTGTTTGGAAGTGTAGTTTTCCAGAAGTACTGCTCACAAAGTCACCCCAACCTAACATTCCTGACGTTATCTAGTTTGCATACTTTAAAAAAAATTCAATTATCTTGCACAAAGTGTACCCAAAGTTAAAGGGCTCGTAGGAGAAAACGCTGGGGACCACTGTAAAACACAGCATGCGCTGTTGGTGTGCACCAGCCTCCCTCAAAGCTCCAGGCGCTCCAGGCTTCTCTCTCATGACATGCGTGCTGAAACACGTAGCTACCTGTCACGAGTGTCACTAAGGATTTTGCAAATTTTTTTTTTTTGCCAGTATAGAAAAAAATACTTGTTCATGTGGCTGAAACTCTCTATAAGTAATGTGCTGTATCGTTAATGGGCACTATTGTGATTTATGCCTACACCGTAGAGTTTAAGGACATTTCCTCTCTGTTGCTTTCTCTACTAACAGAGAATTAGTTTCACTCTGAGGTTCTGCTCCACCAAATTTTCACTTCTTTTATTACTACAAAAGCAAACAATTTAAAGTTGATCATTGGAGTTCTCAACTGAGTTTATAGCAACATCTCTAATAAATGCCAGATTTTTATCTTCGTGATTGACTTTCTAAAAGCACTGCTTTGATTCCGTGAGGAATTAAACCCAAGGGTTTGTTATTGCCTGAGTTTTCCTGTCTGAAGACATTCTCATAAAACTAGCTTTATTTAACTGTTCACAGTTCTCCTGTGCTGAAGTCAACACATTAAGACCTTTCTTTGGCTATGAAGAAAAGTTTTTAAGTCAAAACCTAGGGACTAGAGAGAGAGCTTAGTAAGTAAAGTTCCCGCTGCCGCTATGAGGACCCGAGTTCAGATCCCCGGTGCCCACGTAAAAAGCTGGATGTGGCCGTGCACGCTTGTGACCCTCATGCTGGGGCAGGGAATGGGGGAAGCAGGTCGATCCCTGGAGCCCATAGGCAGCCAGTATAGCCCACTGGTGTACTCTAGGCTCCCGAGTCACCCTATCTCAAAAAGCTATTCAGGATGACACCCAGCGTTTATTATAAGCATACACATGCTCATATACAAATGCATGCTCATGCTCAGGTACACACTTTCATACACACGCACATATACTCACACACATACATACACACACACCCCGAAACTAGGCTAGGTATACTGTATCAAAAACTATATAAACAACCAGAACAATAAAATGAAAATAAAAGTAAATCCATTTATTTTTGGGAAACGGGGTCTCATAGTCTATCTTTGGCTGGCCTTGGACTCACAAAGTCACTGCTCCTGCCTGCTGAGTACTACTAAAGGTGTGTGTCACCACGCCCAGTTCCATTTAACTTTAATGAAGCCATGCTCCCAGAGAGACATAGAAATGGACCTTCTGTAGGAATGAAACCAGTGTCTGGGCACAGTCTTTAATCACAAACCTTGAAATAAGTTCAGATGGTCTTCTGATTTGCATTATTTCTATTTCACATGGCTGTTAATGTCATTGTGGTTGCCATGTGGAATAATGTCAACCAAACTGGGCATTGTCAGCAACATTACAAAAATGCACTTAATTTTACATTAAACATGCCTTCCAGTTTTTAGCTCTTCACAGCTACACAAAAGGAAACAATCAAGAAATGTTATTATTGGATGGATGGATGGATGGATGGATGGATGGATGGATGGATGGAAACAAATGACCCAAGTTAACTTGGAAATGAAGGAAGTTAATGTCTCAGACCAAAGCATGCATCTGACACCATCCAGATATATGGGAAGTGGTGGGATTGGAAGGTGATAGGGAGGGCTTAAAACATACATTCTGCGGCTGGAGAGATGGCTCTGTGTTTACGAACCCAAGTTCAGTTCCCAGCACCCACATGGCAGCTCACACCTGTCTGTAACTGTATTTCCAGGGCTTCTGACACCTCACACAGGCACACATGCATCAGTGAGCATAAAATAAAAATAAATTTTAAAAATTGATTTAAAAAACAGACAGACCTGCATTTCTTTTTTATAAAATTGCAAACTGCTTTTTAACATGAAAGTTTAATATTGAATTTAGTCATGCCATTTAGCCTTATTACTACTATGTTTTTCTTTGCCTATCCAAAAGAATTAAAATGAGAAAAATAAATAGATCCACAAAATAAGATAAATTTTAAAAATAAACAGAAAACAAATCTGCATTTCTATTTTTTGGTTTTGTTGTTGTTGTTGCTTTGTTTTGGGTTTTTGAGACAGGGTTTCTCTGTAGCTTTGGAGCCTGTCCTGGAACTTGCTCTGTAGACCAAACTGGCCTCGAACTCACAGAGATCTGCCTGCCTCTGTCTCCTGAGTGCTGGAATTATAGGTGTGTGACACCACACCTATCCAAGAGGATTTGTATTTACCTATTGAGTCTCCTATCGGTAGAGGGACTGGTCTTAGAGTAGTAAATGTCCCTTGCACGGTTTACTGTGCTTGATTAGCTATCCGAAATTCAAGGTGGAGTCTATCAGCTTTTGGCAGATTGAAAGGGTCAAACATTAGCTGATAAGTGGATAACTGTCGTGTTCCAGGTTCTGGAATAAATGCTAGTGGACATGTGAGTGTGATTCTGTCTTCAAGCATGCTCTGTAGAGTGGGGATAGCAATGCTCTCAACAGAAAATGGAAGTCTGAGAGTTGGGGCAGTCAATGCCTGCGTCTCCAGAACCCACACTGGCCTGGGGTTCAAACACGTAGCTGTGCTCCCATGGGGTGAGTGTGAGCGTGGGGGGGGGTGCAGGGAATGAGTGTGTTACGATGCAGGTGGGGAAGTCAGAAGACACCTTTGGAGAGCTGGTTCTGATCTCCCACTGTGTGGGTTCCAGGGATTGAACTGGGTCTTCAGTCTTGGAAGCACTCACTGAGCCATCCTACTGACCCTGATAATATCTATTATTAACCCTACAAGATTATTATACGCTCTTCCTTAGAATGTTTAAAACAGTACAATTAAGGATTGCTTATTAAACTGCCAAATTTCTATTGCCCTTCCATTGTGAATGCAGTTCTTTCTCTAAGGAGAGCTAATGAGAGCACTGACCTTTCTCTACCATGTTTCTCATGTCCCCAACCCCACAGGAAGAGCGAAGCCTCCGCACTGGGCCCGACCTATCTATGAGCTAGATACGGAGGACCCAGGAAACAATGGCTTCGTCAATGAGGACTTCATTGTGTGGATGCGGACCGCCGCCTTTCCCACGTTCAAAAAACTGTACCGCCGGCTCAGCCGCGTGCACTACTTTGTCGATGGCTTACCTGCCGGCAACTACACTTTCCACATATCCTACAGTATCCTTCTGTGCCACGTCCTCTTCTCAGAGTGAAAGCAAATCTCGCCTCTCACCGTTGAGCTCCTTCTTTCTGCTTCTGTCCTCCATCCTGATATGTGTACCACTGAAAAACAGGCGACTGTTGTACAGTGGTACACACGGAGACAGGAGATGCTAGCTCCTCAACCGGGGGTGGTGGGGGGTGTCCTCTATCTCGGGACTGATGTGTCAGGAAAAAAAAGTGCACATTTTGTTTATATTATTGTAGTTTAGAACCCTCCCCAAAAATAGAGACCCCAAAAAGTGGCTGCATGTATTGACATACTAGTTTTAAAGGAGTGCCCATTATGGAAGAACAGCTGAAGGTTACTTTAGCCAAATTTGTTTGCACTGGTTGCCTTGTGATGGTAAAGATATTCCTCTCTCTCTCTCTCTCTCTCTCTCTCTCTCTCTCTCTCTCTCTCTCTCTCCCTCTCCCTCTCCCTCTCTCTCTCTCCCCTCTCTCCCTCCCTCCCCCCTCTCTCCCTCCCTCCCTCCATCCCTTCCTTCCTTCCTTTTTCTTCTTTTTGTGATAGGGTCTCACCAAGTAGCTCCGGCTGTCCTGGAACTCACTATGCAAACCAGGTTGATCTCAAATGCACAGAGATCCTCCTGCTGCAGCCTCCCAAGTGCTAAGATTCAAGGCATTTGTCCCCAAACCTAGCTAAAAGTATTTGTTCTAGTGTCAGTGGGCATTTTTCATCCTTCTCTATGTTAGACGAGAGTGGACAGTTAGCATGACCGTCTCTGTGTTGTTAGATGAGAGTGGACGGTCAGCATGACCTTCTTGCGCTTGCTGATTTTCAAGTCTCTGAAGCCAAAATAATACACCAAAGTGGCAAATTTGGGGGTGATATGTCCTCTGCCTCTTCAACTATCATAACATCATCATATAACTGTCTAAAGTATGTATTTATGTGTCTTCGTTTACATTTATTTATTTCATTTTACATTCCAACCACAGTTCTCCCTTCCACCCCTCTTTCCATTCCCTTCACCTCCCTGCCAGCGCACCTCCCCCATCTACTCCTCTCAACTAAGGGCTCCCATGGGGAGTCAACAAAGTCTGGAACATTAAATTGGGCCAGGGCCAGAATATAGCATCCCCACATAGAGAATGGGCTCCAACTTTTTAAGGAACAACAAACAGGCAGTAGCAATACCAGGTATGGATAGACAGGCAAAGAGTACTTTTGTCCCCAAGAAAGATGGATAAAGGGCAGATGCAGACATCTAAACCAGCGAGGGGAAACGCTCCACATAGAGTGGGATGAGATGGAGAATCAAAAATAAAAAACTAAGGGGATACACAGTAGTACATCTGGAAGGTAGAGTAGAATCACAGACACTGGCACTGACCATAGATCTTTTAGACAAAAGTGTGTTAGAGCAGGGAGCCCGCATCTCCCCGACCTCTGTACCTGACCCAGCCTACCTATGCACTAGATAAAGACCAGCCAGTAAACAATGGCTTCCTCAATGAAGACGTCTCTGTGTGGATGCAGACAGCTTGATGCAGTCCGTGCCAGGAACGCTGTGAGCTCCGCACTGCAGATGTGTGTTCTTCCTGCCTTAGGTACACAGCCTGCCAGTGGGAGCCCATGTCTTAGTAACAGGCAGACGGCAGAGTTAGGAGACTTGTTTTCTAATAATGGATTATGAAGTTTCCCTCCTAACTGAAAAATACAAATGTGAACCTGCTTTTAAAAAACAATGAAGTTTTAGCTGTAAAATGTAACCAAATCTTTTTAAATAGTTATATATCACATATAATTTATACTAACTGTGGTCTTGGGGTCAGGCATGCACCCAGCTTTGAAACACCCACCCAGTTAGGCATCTACACTCTTACATACAGCATGCCAGGGTTGCTGACTGGAATTGGTCTAGAGGTCACCCTGCAGGCCAGACCTTCTCCACACTGCATTGGCCACTTCCACAGTCTAACTCCCAGGGAGGTTCAAGGAGAATTTTTTTTCTTTTTCAAGGTCAGGGATCAGACCCAGGACCTTGGGCACACTATGCAAATGCCCCGCCACCGAGCTACGTGCCTAGTCCCGGGATGGAAAAGCCAGGGCACAGTGGGAAGTGCAAATATCCACCTGTAGCCCTGTGCCCTTCTCCAGGATTTCCTCCTTCTCCTGGGGCAGGCGTGTGGAACTCGCCCATGGGAGAGTAGCGATGTTCCTCTGGGAGAGCCCTGCTCGTGTGGCATCTCTGCCTTGTCCACCTTCTGTTTTCCTTTGGAGTGGTTGCTTTAAAACAGAGATTGAATGTTGCCTGCTGAGTGTCTCTCAAGTTGAATCTCCTGATTCCACAAGAAACTGCAGAAGAAAACACAAGATCGAGATGCTACCTTCGCCCCTTGCTGTAATTTAGGTTGGGGGTGAGGAAAGGAGACCAAGGGAGATACTGTTTTTCCTCTCCAGAAGTGCTCTCCCCACTGACAGCTAACAGCCACACCTGAATGACAATCTTTGTATGGTCCAGACACAACTTCAACCCTGAATGTGAGCCCTCTTCTTCACCACCGGTGTGGCCTGGCTGAAGTCTGGACTGCGGCAGCGCCTGCTGCCCGAGGGGGAAAGAAGGTCCCGCGCTGAGACCAGGACTCTCCCTTCAAATGACCTGGGAGAAACGCAGGTGGGAAGATGAGGTAAGGTAGCACCAAGGACCAGGTGACAATGAGGAATTCCAGTATTAAAAAAAGAAACAGAGGACTTGTCCCTAACACGCTGGCTTGTGCCTTTAAATAGCACGTTGCCAGGAGATTGAAGCCTTCTAAGAGCTTTGCTGGGAAATGCCTCTGTCCTCAGCGTTGCTATGAGAAGGCTTTGTTTGTTTATTAGTTTCGTTTACAAAAGGCACCAGATGTTTAAAACCCTCGGGCCACATGCATCATGAGGATGACATCATTAAAATGCTACATAGTAAACCCACTTCAAACACTTTCTCGCCAGCAGCAGGGACACTGCCTTTGCAGAAAACGCTAACAAGTCTGCCACCTTTAGAGTTCTCACCAAAAATGCTTCACTGTTCATGCTGGCGGTTTCTTTGTTGTTGTTTTATCCGTGGAAAGAATTCGTGCTTTAGCCTCTCTGGAGTCTTCTGGAGTTCCGGTGAATAGAACCTTCAGCTTGCTGTGAACACTCTCTATTCTTTCTGCCGCCTTGGAGTCATCAAAGGGAGTTAGATACCTGTTCCTTATCTGACTGCTGAGAAATCATTGAGATCAATATACTCCCCTGTCTTCACTCTAGCTATGTGGAGGGGAACCTTGCTTTGACTAGTTTTATTCTAGCAAGATAAAGTACTAATTGGCTGCATTGAAACATGTGAAATTGAATAATTAACCGTTTTGTGTCTCCAAAAAGATCAATTTCCTATAACCTAATCTAGTGTATTTGTGTATGCCATGGGACGGGAGATAAATACTGAGTCCTTAACAGATCTTCTTAGATTTTCCAGTTACCGTGTTCCGAGGAAAAAAATCTGTTGTTCTTTCCACCCTGACGTGGATCGGAGGAGGTAGCCTTTTCCTGGGGCTTACGTACACAGTGACAGGGTCATTGACATTGTTGGCCTCTTTTGTCATCCTGGCAATTCACCAGATGCTGAAAAAGAATAAAAAAGATTTCCTGTAGGAGTGAAGTCGAGCTTTGAAAAGAAGACGAGCAGAAGACAAAATGGACAATGAAGTAAAGAAGTGAAGACCTCTGGCAAAGCCTGAGCTATTTCGGAGTCATCTCAACAGGGGGTTACTGGATTGACTGACTCCAATATCATCTCAACTACATGAATAAACAAAGAGATTCCCAGAGTGGGGTGACGAGAAGGACTAAGGAGGAGGAGGAGAAGAAGAAGAAGAAAAATGTGTGCCATAAAATGTTCTTGGAATGAAAACAATAAATGATTTTTGAGCTCGAGACCAAGTGTTAAGAATTTGAAGTTCCTATACTTGGGAGTGGGTGAGTTCCCTAGGGGCCCACCATTAAAACAGAGCAAGCAAGCCGAAACTGGGTCCTCTAGCTAGCCAGATAGACTCAGTCGTCTGGTCGGATGAATTTATAAATTTTTCAAAGACCAACCAGTTGTTGAGTCGAGCAGCACGTTTTCCTGCTAAGACTGAGCAATGCTTAGCTACATCCTTGGTATCCAAAGTACATACACCGAAAGGAAAGTTTCTTTAATGCTACCCAAGATAAAAGCATTAAGAGTGACTGATTCTTTAAACTAAGTTAAGACACAAAGCATTCTAGTACTGATATTAAAATGACACTATCCAGAATATAAACAATGACTGGCCTTGAACTCACTGTCTGCCCAGGCTGGCCTTTGACTCATAATCCCCCTGCCTCAGTAGCCCTAGTGCTAAGATTATAAGTATGTGCCACTGAACTACTTACGCTAATTGTCACCTTACTGTGATAAAGTACCTAACAAGAAGCAATTTCGAATTTGGGCCTGATACTGTTGATGGTGGTCCGTGAATTTAATCCCAGCAGTTGGGAGGCAGAGTCCGGTGGATCTCTGTGAGTTCAAGGCCAGCCTGGTCTACAGAGCAAGTTCTAGGACAGCCAGGCTACACAGAGAATCCCTGTCCTGAAAAACCAAAACTAAGTAAATGAGTAAGTAAATAAATAAAAATAGAAGCCAGGCCTGATGGTGCAAGCCTTTATAGTCTCAGCACTCGGGAAGCAGAGGCAGGTGGTTCTCTGTGAGTTCAAAGCCAGCCTGGTCAGAAAAGAAAGGAAAAAGAAAAAGATGGAGAAGCAACAGCAACTGAAGAGAGGAGGAGTTTGTGTGGGTTTTCAGTTCCAGAGGCTATATATAGTCTGTCATGTCGGGGAAGGTATGGCTGTAGGAGCAGGAGGCAGCTGGCCACACTGCATCAAGGGTCAGACATCAGAGAGATAGAGGGATGCTGGTGCTCAACTGGCCTCCTCTCCTGTGTATTCCAGGACTCCAGCACGTAGGATGGTGCTGCCCATGTGTGTTTTGCGTCTCGCACCTCAGTTTAAAGTCGACAGTCCTTCACAGGCATTCCCAGACACTTGTCTCGTATATGATTCTAGGTCAGTATTAACCATCATGCCAGGCTCAACACTGATGTTTGCTGCTGGAATTCTATCCATAAATGGAAAAGAATTTGTGATTTTAAGCTCAGAGTAAGCCACAGCTTGCAACAGTGGCAGTTGGAAATCAATACACCAGGGTTTAGTGGTGCTATAGTCCTCTCTGCAATTGTCTGTGGTACTTGGGTGACCTGCCCAGAACAGGGAGAGCGAAAGGAAGTCACACCCACTAACCTCTGATCCTTAGTCCCACAGCCCTCCTTTACAGTGCTAGTCAGGAGAGAAAAGCAACTCTTGTATCTCAAACTTATAAGGATATAAGGTAGAAAGATGCCGTATCAGTCAGGGATCGATCGGTAAGACAGAAAGATCTCTCTATGTGTCTGTCTCTGTGTGTGTGTTTGTCTCTCTCTCTTTCTCTCTCTCTCTCTCTCTTTCTCTGTCTCTATCTCTCTCTGTCTCTCTGTCTCTCTCTGTCTCTCTCTCTCTCTCTCTCTCTCTCTCTCTCTCTCTCTGTGTGATTGGTAGATAAACATTTCTTTTTTACATTTGGCTTGTGTGAGTGTTGCGACTCTACCTTCTACTAGATGAGTCCTGCTCAAGAAAAGACTTGTGATTAGAAGTCCAAACGTATTCTGGCAGGAAGTGTTAGGCCGTGGGTGGACTCTTGAGTTTGCTGAGTGCTCCCTCTTGACGAAAGTCCAGCCTTTTCTAGTCAGGGCTCCACATACTATGTAGGACAGTCAGTCTGCTTTATGAGGAGTCCACTGAGGAAATTCTCATCAGAAACATCCAGAATAATCCACCATCTATCTTGGAATTCCATGGCTTGGTCAAGGTGGCATCAAATTAACCATTACAGACCCAAGGAAGACACCTATGTTCAACAAGTAGTTAAGCACCTTCCCAAAGAAAGCACCCTTGATTCCACTCTGAGACAAAGTTGGCTTATGGCGAGAACCTATACAGAAACACAAGCTGTGTCCATGAGAAACTAATTTGAGAAGAACAAATGGCCATTTGTGTCCTTTTCTGGCTTATCCAAAGCCAGTGCACACGAAGCAATTTGCCCCTTCAGGACTTTCACCCTGGTGGAGTCTGGAAGTCCTCCTGGTTCACCATCAACCACCAATAGTGGGAAACTGGAATGACCTGATTGTCTTTATCTCCCATCCCATGTCCCTAGCCCCCACCCCTACCGTATGACGCTCTTCTTTCTGCATATTTCTAAACACTTCACCTATGTGCGCCAGGATCTCAGTGAATGGGCTTGCATGTCTTATGCCCAAATGATCCTCCTGCCTCTGCCTTCTGAGTGTTCTGGGCTCAGGTGGATGCCATGGTGCCCGACTTATCCTTACATTCCTGGGAAGAGTTTGGTGAAAGCTGGGGGAAAGTGTGTCACTCTAGTCTGGCCCCAACCCTGACAACTATGTGGAGAGAGGGGGAAGGGTTTGCTCGAGATGAAGAGAAAAAGAGCAAAATGAAAAGTCAGTTTGTCCGCGTGCATGTCTGGGTGTGTGTGAGCATGTAAGAGCCTGCGAGGAAGCGCTTGGGACTGTTGGGAAACCCAGACCTTTAAGGCACGTCCATTAGGGTGCATATTTTAAATGCAGGGGTGGAGGCACTGGGAGCAGAATTACTTAGGACAGAGTTACGAGTGAATAACGAGTGAATAACGTCGTAGAAGTTGGGCTGAGGCTACAGCTGAGTGGCTGCTGGAGAGGCTACAGGCTGAGGTGGCCCTGCCCAGGGCAGAGCTATAAGAAACTGAAATTCGATATGAGCTACTGAAATGAAGCCCACCGACTTCAGATTCCCCCGTTTTATCCACAACCCTCCATCACAGTGCTGATTAGGAAAGACACAAATACAGTGGTTATACCTCAACTTCATTGTCTGCAGATTGATCCTGTATCAGCACGCACAGGCCTTGAGTTCACTCCCCAGCACCTCGTAACCCCTATGTGTAACGGTGTATGTATGCCTGCAATCCTCAGGAGGTAAAGCAGACAATCCCGAGTTCAAGCTTATTATCAGCTGCACAGTGAATTTGAGGTCAGTCTGGGATAAATGATAGCCTGTGATGACGGTCATGGTGGTTGATGATGGCAGTGGTGACGCAGAGTTGACCGTTATTCAAAGTTTAGTTACTAGACCTTTACCATGTGTGGCAAGCCCACAATGCTGGGTGCACCAAAGGGAGCCAGCTCCCCCGCTGTGAAGGGACTTATCTTACATAAACCTGTTTTCCATCCAACTCCACCTGTGTCCCCCCCATAGTTTCAAAATGAGAGCATCTTTTTCTTTATTATTATTACACACACGTGTATGCACAAATATTTAAATACAGCCTGCTGTATCCAGAATTGTTTGTGGGCATATGGTTTCAGGGCTGATTACTTTGGATTGGGTAACCAATTAGGGAGGGCTCATCCCTGGGAGAGGCTAGCTTACTGTCCACACAGTCATTCGGTGCCTGCAGTTCTTTATCTGAGGTGGGACCCTGTGAGAGTTTCTCCATCCCTCATTAATATTATGTAAACACCATGGTTGATCACGACCCCCCCGACTCATCTAGGTTTTCCCTTAAGCTATGGATTAAGGAAATGTCCCACCACAACAGCACCAGGCTTCCAACTCCTTCCACATAACCCCAGAACACCTAAGCCAGAATACCCGCCAACTTTGACAAAGCATCATTGCCCAGTCAGCGTCCCAGCCACCCCAACGAAACCCGTCTAATGAAGGCTGGCGTTTTCATCTGCTGCATCACTTAGTACTGGTTTTATTGGTGCAATATTCATAATAGGAAGCAAGCTTCAAACAGCTGCTAGTGGTTTTGCTTTGCGATGTGTCCAGCAATTCCACAGCACCATGGCCTGTGGTTATCAACATTTTTTTCTCTCTGAATATCCATAACTAGTTGTACCACAAAGCAGATCATTGCTGGCTTCTCCACAGGAAAGCCCATTTCCAGTCCTCGGAGCCAAGGGAGCCTCTCAAAGGTTCAACCCAGATTCTATCTCACCAGGGCTGGCTCACAGTTCCATTGCTAACTCAGCTTTCGTTTGCCAAATGTTTTTTAGGTTTCTCTGAAGTCTTTATTAAGTGGATTCCTAAAAAACTATGTTGTTTGTTGGTTTGTTTGTTAATCTAGTAAGAGGTCAATGTTTCGGTGAGACTTCATTTTCTGGTAAGGTCTTTAAAAAAAAAATCCTCATTCTTTCTCTCCTAAAAATGATTATCTGGCCAGGCGGTGGTGGCGCACGCCTTTAATCCCAGCACTCGGGAGGAAGAGGCAGGCAGAGCTCTGTGAGTTTGAGACCAGCCTGGTCTACAGAGCGAGGACAGGCTCCAAAGCTACGGAAAAGCCCTGTCTTGAAGGGGGGGGTGGAGATTATCTGGTAAAATGATTAGGAAAGAAGGTGGTGAAATAAAGAGATTTGGATTATGGTGACTCCGACAGCTGCAAGGACAGGCCATTTAGAAGCAGAGAACTTGGCCGCACAGAGGAAAGGCGTCCATTCTCACCACTCTGTCCTGTGGTCTCCACTGAATGGATGACTCGAACCATTCTGACAAATGCAGGAAGTCGTCCAAATCCAGAGAGTGCAATGTTGCCTAGCAATGGCTCTCCCGTGCATGTGTGTGGAAATGTGCCCTGCTTCCAGAAGTAAGTTCTGCTTTCCTTCCTCTCACCACGGTTGGGATGGAAAAACTGAAGTCATTGCTCTGATGACAAGAAGCGTCTGATGACAAGGGGCGCAGCTGCAGCAGGGACAAACGAGGGTGGCCTCTCAACGCTCAAGCTTTTCCCT